GCTGAGCCCTGGGTGGGTGGCTCAGTTGGTTAGAGCATCACCCCAATATGCCAAGGTTGCCGGGTTGATCCCTGATCAGGGCAAGTGCAAGAGGCAATCAATCAGCAAGTGCATAAATAAGTAGAACAACAAATTGATTTTCTTCTCTCTCTCTCTCTTCCTGTCTCTCTCTCTTGAAAAAAAAAAAAAGGCTCATCTGGGCAAAGCAGATAAATGGAAATGGCAATTTATAGAACTGATGTAATCTTTAACCTCAATTTATTTAGGAGGAAAAAAAGTGCTACTCAATCACGTTAATTGGTTTCTGGCTCTAACTAGCCATTCAAAGTCTATCCCAGTAACAAGTTCATTCTGAAATTGTCTGAATTAGGGTTCTGTCTTTAGAACTGAACAGTGTCGGATCACAGCCGCTGTCTGTTGACCTAAGTAAGGGCAGAGTCCCTCCCTGAGTCCAGCAAATTCTCCAGGAAGCCAGGAATATTCTATGGAGTGGCCAGGTCTTTTAGGTCTTTCAGTTTTGTGAAGCATTTCATTTCCAGACCTAAAATGATAAGATTTTTAAAGTTTATGGATTCTTTCAAGTCTAACACGTTGGCTTTTCCTTGCATTTTTATCATACATGTTCCAATTTAGCAACATCAAATCATCTACAACATACGCAATTTACCCAAAGCTTGCCATTCTGTAATGTGAAATGAACGAGTGCATGTGTGCACATAGATGCATTGGTGTGTAAGGTACATGACTAGTTTTGCTGGGATTGGATGGGAGCAGACCACGTAAGTGTGAGTCCAGGCTTATCTTGGGAGCCATCTTGGCGGCTGGCTAGCCCAAGGACCCTATTAAATTAGTTCCCATCCCCTCTTCTCATTTTGTCCTGTTTTGTATCTTTCTAATTCCTATTGCTACCTGCAATGATTTTCTTTGCTTGATGTAAAATAAGTGTCCATCTCCCCCACTAGCCTGCATGCTCTGTGAGATCAGAGACCACATTAGACATACTCACTGTGGTCTCCTCTATATTTAAGAAGATCACCTGGCCCTGGCTGGTGTGGCTCAGTGGATTGAGCGCGGGCCTGCAAACCAGAGGATCGCGGTTTGATTCCCAGTCAGGGCACATGCCTGGGTTGCAGGCCAGTTCCCTGCAGGCTATTTCACGGCAGGGGAAGCACTAGAGGCAACCATACATTGATGTTTCTCTCCCTCTCTCCTTCGCCTCTAAAGATAAATTTAAAAAATCTAAAAAAAAAAAAAAGAAGGAGAAGAAGATCATCTGGCACCTGGTAGGTGCTCAATAAACACTGGTTGAAGGAAAAACTGGAGAGTCAGTGTCAGCCCAGCGACAGGTGCCAGGAAACATGTCAGTATCTTGTTGTTGGCTTGTAGTCCTTACTTTGAAGGCCTGAGAGACCAGATTGGGCTCTTTGAGCTAAGTTTCCACCTCTCTGAACTGTTGCAACCCAGGCAGATTTAATAGCTTTATTTTCTTAGATCCTGGAGGACCATATTCCATGGGCCCTGGGAGCTGCCAGCACCAACTATGGCATTTCTGTAAATGACAATGCCCCAGCTTCAGAGTAACCTAGTGAACTAGTAACTGACACTCAACCTCCCACAGGACTATTGAAGTGGAGACCTCTCCAGACACAGGAATGATTTTAGATGCTGGGCATTCTTCCAGAGTGACAAACAGCCATTACTTTCATGTACCCAGTACCCAGCCTACCCGCCAAGATCCAAGAATTACTTCACATTCCATCACTCACATTTCTTTGTAAGGCCCATGGGCAGTTCCTCGGTCTGACCTCGCGCTCACCTCTACAGCTGTGTGACTGTACTAAACTACCCATTTCCCCTGATCTTCCCCTGCCAAAGTAGGAAAGTCTTGCTTATGGTTCCATAATAATGCAGTTCCACAGCCCTTTCTCTGCACTTCCAGAATCCAAAAAGCTCTGGCCACTGCAAGGTTTTTTGTAAGTTCACAGGGTCAGCCTCTCCAACCAAGGCCATTAGGAACCTACCGTAATTGGGCAAAGTTGGGTTTACTGACTTTTGCCACAAGGGAGAATACACACCATGCATGTTATGATATCTCCCTTTCACTCCGCTGGTGGGAGGGACATCTGCCTTCAGTAGCATGACAGCCAGTAGTAGACAGGTGAGATCAACAGCAGTTATCAGCCACATATACTCATTCTTGGGGAGAGGACACCACATGCCATTCAGGGCCCCTCAGGGCTGCACTAAGGAACAGAGTGAACTAGCTGGGGCAGGAGGCTGAAGGCTTTGTAGTAATGGGGTGGGGTGCCCACGGTTCCAACAAGGGGAAGGTCGTTGGGGGGAGCTTTGCCTGCAGAGCTCCCCATCTGCCATGGATGAGAACAAGTCTACCAAGACGTGATCTGCTTGGGGAAGAAAGGTGGCCGTTCTCTCAAAGGAGAAGGACCAAGAGCCTTTTCCCCAATGGGCTTTTATTGGGTTCGGTTTGCACAGAAATACAGGTAAAGCTCATTAATTATTGTCAGGCAGTAAGGATCCAACAATAGATAACATACAAAGAACTGTGAAGGCTTATTTAGAGTCAGGGTCAGATAGCTAAAGAGCCATAAAACTTTGGGAGACAAACTCAAATCCTACTCAGACCCTTATCAGAAAATCGAGGACATTCTTAGCAAAGCAGGTTTCATAGGATTTTATGTATTCTTTCTTAGGCCTGATTGCCCCAGGGAACCTGCCCTTTCCATCACAGGGCCACACCCACCTCCAGCATTGTTTCAGGCTTAAATTGGGCAGGGGAAGTAAGGCAGCTAAGAGATTAGGAGACTTCTTCCCGTCAGAATGAGGACTCAGGCTATGTCAAAGCTGAGGGGTGAGGGTCCATCACCCTCTTTTGCTATAGCCCCCCAAGTCTTTCCCTGAGGCCCCCCTCGTGATTGTGCCTGTCTTAGATCATTCCTTCCCTTGAGCAGTCTTACCCGTCATTGGCTAATTGAACATGCATTGGGAGCCAGGCAGGATGAAGTAAAAGGGGGCAGAGGCAGCGCCCCTGCCAGGGAGATAAGCCTTGTCTCCTTAGTGGCTTAGGGTCCCAAGGTCTGTCACTCATCCTTAGCCATTGAGGGTTACAGCTTCTGAAACCAGGCAGGGCGGTTCCCAGCAAGAGGTGATTGGCTTGTTTCAATAGTTTCTCAAGCTGGCAGGGAACTGAGACTGAAGCCCCTCAGATGTGGATGGGGTGGAGTGCAGCTGGTCTGGCTGATGGGGGAACTAGCTGAGTGAAGAGCCTCTCCTATGGGGTAGGGGTGGGGGGCATGTCTGAGAGGAACAGGGGAACTCAGGGCCCTGTGAGGCTCAAAGATGTCAAGGCAGCCCTTGAATTTGTAGGTCATGCAACACAGTGGGGAATCCAGAGGCATCTCATAAGAGGGTTAAGTTAGAAGGACTTATTATAGATTTTGGGCCCATGTCAGGTGACGACTAGGGGGAGTGTTCTGGATTGGGTACTGCCAGGAAGCAGGGCTAATTCTATGACTGGACATTTTAATCAATCTTATGTAGAAGGCAGAAGGATTGAAACAGATAAAGTTCTAGTTGGTCAAGAAGCAATGGTTACTCCTAGTAGCCAGGATAGGGGGCTATCTGGTCACGTTAGTAGTTTGGACAGTATTCTGATTTTTGTCTGTGTTCAGCCGTAATTACAGCTGATCTGGTTTGTCTTGGCCTTTCACGGAAGCAGAGCAGCCTTGGAGGGCCTGGTGTTCTGTGACATTGTTCGTGTCCACTAGAGTGTACCAAGGCCCTCCGCTGTCTTGCAGGGTGAGTTGTCAAGCCCTCCCACAGGGCAGTTGCCGTACTTGATTTTGGACAGAACACATCAACTACCTGCAACATAAGCTGTTGTGTTGCCAGAAACAACTGGCTATCAGGACTGGCATCAGACCCTGGTGACAGGGCCCTTGTTTGCTGAACCCAGGCTATGAAACACCCCTAAAATCCAGTTGGTCAATTATACAAGGTCACATTGCTGCTAAGAAAGAGTCATATGCATAAGCCCAAAGTGGACAGGAGACTGCTGCCTCTTCTGTGGAGAAGCTGGGAAAGACTGATCTCGAGACAACTCAACTCCTGAGGGGGGCTCATGCTGAGTGCCGTTTATGAGCAGTGTGTACTATATGCCAGGAATTTGGGGGTGAACCAGAAGTGGGGGCTCCAGAGGTTGAGTCAGGGCCTTCATCACAGAATTCCCTAGGAGACCAGGCCTAGCGGACTGTCGTGTTCTTGTCTGAGAACCGAGGAAAGCAGGGCCTAAACATACAGGGGTCCAGGCAGCCTCCAAGTTCTGCAGCAGCAGGCATATCCTCAAGGCTTTTAGAGCACTGGGGTCTTTGTGAGCCCCAGCTCAAGGGGGTAGCACAGCAAAGTTTGGGATATCACTCACGTCCCCACGAGGGCAGGGACACATGCAGGATCCAGACCTAATGAAAGCTGGCTGCCTCATGCCCTTTCACCTTCCTCCTCCAGAAACTGGAGCACCTGTGTGGGCTTTGGCCACTGTCTCACAACCAGCTTAGCTCTTCAGATTTGTTCCTGAAACCTGGGCTTTCCCAACTCCAAGAATTCTGTCTCCTGTTCCAATTCTAGAGACTTCCAAGGAGCGAGCTGCCACTCCCATTACCTTCCCGGCATGCTTCTTGGAAAGGGTCATTGATCTTATATAATCAAAGGCCAGCCCTTTGTTCAAACATTCATTAACTATTAATTGAGTACCTACTCTGACCCACTCCAGACCCTTGGAAGCACACCCACTGCCACATTCTTTGGTATCTTAGCAACAAAAAAACTCTCATCTGAACTCTGGCCAGGACAGAGGCCATTTTTCCCTCTGACTGCTGTCACTTGCAGCTTCTCTGGATCTCTGAGCATCTGTTCGTGCAGCTCGTGGATCCACCACTTGTCCCCAAAGGTGCCAGAACCCCATCACAGCCAACGCCTCTGGCAGAATGAGCTTCTCACTCACATTCTCCGAGCTGGTCAACATCGCCATCCCACAGTGTGGTGTGGTGAACTTCAAGGCCATGCACCTTCTGCTCCATGGCATCCTGGAGCACATCCAAATGGCTGAGCTCAAGAAGGTCCTCTCGGGAGATGAGGACTTCCTCCAGTCCTCACAGGCTGTGTTCATGCCCCGGGAAGGAGATGCTCAGCCCATCCTCAACCCCATGAAGAGGCTGAGCAACGTCTTTGACCACATGGTGAGCCGCATGGACAAGATGGAGAGCCAGCTGGCCACGCTGCAGGAAATGCCCTCTACGGCTGAGCTAGTGGAAGCCAGCCAGGGGGCCTGCCGGCCAGCCCAGGAACTATGGCAGCTGATAAAGCTCCGGAAGTTGGTGGAAGGCAATGAAGAAGCCACCGAAAAGGTAAACTGCCTGGCCTCCACAAACTTCTCGCCCCCTTGCTCTCCTCCCCGGCATCTCGCCACCTATTCCCTTGTGTCCCTTTGTGATGAGCCCTCCCTGTTGGGTTGTCAGGCAGACCAAAGCTCCAAGCTTGCATTCATCGAGTATTGAGGCAAGAAGCCAGACATAAAAACCACATATTGTGTGATTTCATTTATACAAAATGTCCAGAATGGGCACATCTATAGAAATAGAAAGCGTATCTGTGGTTGCCAGGGCCCCAGGTGGAACAGGGAATGGGGAGCGCCTGCATCCTGGTTACAGGATCTCCTTCTGGGGGGATGGAAAGGTTTTGTACCAGACGCAGGCAGTGGTTTCACTGTGAATGCAGTAAGTGCTACTAAGTCGTTCTCTTTAAAATAGTTCCTTGTATGTTATGTGAATCTTGCCTCAATAAAAAATAATAATAATTGAGGACCACCCACAAGGGAGGTGCCATGGTAGTCATGGTGAAGAGGAGTTCATGTTCTAGCAAACAGAAAGCGAGGGAGTAAAAATCTATAGGAAGTAGTCATGTGAAACGTGGGGAAGAGTATTATCTGTACTTTATAGGTGAGAGACTGACACTCAGAAATCTTCACTGCTTTGCTGCCAGCGACAGTGGAGCAGGGGAGGAGCTGCCGCCTCTGACCCAAGGCCTGCCTTGGACCATGTACTCTCCTGACTCCCCTCTCAGCACGTGGTTATCCACCAAGGCCTGTAGTGTTGGGGAAGACGCCGAATCCTGGGAAATAAACACCCTGCCCTTTCTCCTGTCATTCTCCCACTGGTTAAACTGGAGGGTGAGCCAGGCTCAAGGCCCCGAGTGTACCGAGAGGGTGGAGGACGAATATGCAGGGGCTGATGGAGAACATCCATCAAACGGCTGGGCGGCTCTGAGGTTGGACCACTCTGAGGTGGGTGCCGTAAAGGGGACTGGGGGCAGAGCTTTGGGAGAAGGGTAGTGGGTCGAGATGGTTCTGGAAAAGTAGATAAAAGATCAGCATGTAGATATTCTAGAGGAGCAAGTGACAGCAGCCTGCACAGGGCACACTTGGGACACAAGGGACAGTCTTATTGGCTGATCCCCAGAGGAGGGTCATGGATGATGAGCTGGAAGGTGGGCTAGGGCTCTACCCTGAGGGTCCTCAGGTGCCATGGAAAAGCATTGGCTCTCATCCAGGAAGTGTGCAGTCTTTCTTTTTGTGAACTAAGCTTCCCCAGAGAAGGCTAGTCTGGCCTCAGGGGAGAGGTTGTTAGCAAAGGAGGCAGGACAAGTGGTAGAGAGGCCACAAGTTAAAGAGCACCCAGCCAGAGAGTAGAACAGCATGCCAGGTGTGGCAAGCACAGAAAGAAAGGGCTCATCGCTTGCCAGGTAAGCAAGATACTTGTATCTGTTAGCTTCTTTAATCTTCAAAGCAACTGTGAGGCAGATTCGATTATTATCCCAAACTTACAGATGAGGAAATTGAGGCACAGAGAGGATAAGGAACCCACTCTGTGTCACAGTGTTAGAAAATGGGTGCTCGACCTGTCTTGGGCAGAGTGGGTTAGTGAAAGGCATAGGTATGCGGGGCTGCCACTTACCAGCTGGAAAGGGTGGGGAGATGGTGATGGTTCCTTCCTCCCAGGAATGTTGCAAGAATTAAGACAAAATGAAATAATGAATGGAAATTGCTCAGCACAGAGCTCCATATACTCTGGGTGCCCAATCAGTGGTCACTATTATTATTATTCAGGGATTTGAACTGAGCAGGGAAACTGAGATGGATCAGGACCTCAGCAAAGTCAGGCACCTAGAGCCCTGCCAAAACATGCCTGGTCTAGGTGGGAGAAGGGAGAGTCCAGTCCAGCCAAGGTGGGCTGATGCCAGGCAAGAGGGGCAAATGGACAACACAGAAGAACTCTAAGTTATCATGCTCAGTGGAAGTAGCCAGGCACAAAGACCACATGTTGCTTATATAAAACATCCAGAACAGGCAAATCTTTAGAGATAGGAAGTGGATTAGTGGTTGCCAGGAGCTGGGGGTGGAGGCAATGGGAGTGACTGCTGATGGATGTTCTAAATCAGGGTGTCAAACTCATTTTTCTCAGGGGCCCACATCGGCTGCGCGGTTGCCTTCAAAGGGTTGAATGTGATTTTTAGGACTGTGTAAATGTAACTAGTCCTTAACTAGGGGCAAGGAGCTCGGCGCTGCCGCCAGGTAGAAACAAGGTGCCGGACCGGATGTAACAAAGGTGGAGGGCTGGATTCGGCCTGCGGGACTTGTGTTTGCTCCCTGGGGTCTAAATGTTGAAAATGTGCTAAATAGAGATGATGGTTGTACAATCTTGTGAATGAACTAAATGCCACTGAATTTTTTACTTTAATATCGTTACATATATTTTACCACACACACCCACACACACAAAGAGACTGGCAGGATCAATCTTTAAAAACAAACAAATAAAAAAAAATGTGTTCTACCTGTACGCTGTCTACAAGAGACACATTTTAGATTCAAGGACACTGACAGGTTGAAAGTAAAAGGGTGGAAAAAGATGGCCATGTAAGCAGTAATCAAAGGGCAGCTGGAGTGACTATGTCGTTAGACAAGATAGACTTTAAGACACCAAATTGGTACTGAAGACAAAGAAAGCTGCGTGGGTGGCAGAGGGCAGATTACGGAGGGCTTCGGAAGTTGGAGAGGTGCCAGCCCCTCAGAGAAGCCTGCCTTCTACTTACCTTGATGGATGAAGGCTTCTAGAAAGCGTGAGTACCCAGAGTGACACAACTGGGGCAGGAAAGGGGCAGACGGACGAGTTTAGACCTGGGTGTGCAGGCCTTCAAGGACTGTTTGTGCACTTAGGAATTAGAGAAAGTCACCTTGTGGGAGCCTGGCTGAGGCTGCCAGGGTTGCCAGGATGACCCATTGCAGGGGCTGCTGTGGTAGCTGTTCTCAGATGGTGCAAGCTGCTTAGCTAAGAGCAGGAACCCCTGCACCCAGTCAGGTTGGCAGCCAAAATGCCATGTTGATGGCAGGGGTCACCTCGCCTGCCTCCCTCTGCCTCCTTTCTCTGGGATGGTTGGGTGTGTTCTCAGCTGGTCAAGGTGAATGCTGGGCATTCACCTTGGTGAATGGGCACTGGTCAAGGTGAATGGTGCCTGGAAAACTAGGGCAGGCACCATGGAGGCTCCTTGAGAGGTCTGGGAGGACCCACAGGCATGGCCCAAGGGCTGTGCTCCTGGTCATGCCACCACCAGATTTAGGGGCTCAGGCACTGCAACAAGTTGTTACTTAGGTAGATTGACTGTACGGGTTTTCCACCCTTGGCAACACTGACTTTTGGGCTGGGCGACTCTTTGTGGTGGAGACTGTCCTGTGCACTGTGGGATGTCAAGCAGCACCCCTGGGCTCCACCCATCAGGTTGCCAGGGGTTCCTCATAGTCATGACAACCCCAAATGTCTCCAGATGTTGCCATATGCCCACTGGGGCCAAATCACCACTGTTGAGAACCGCTGAGTAGATGCCCTGGCTGGTGTGGCTCAGTGGATCGAGTGCTGGCCTGCAAACCAAGGAGTTGTTGCTTTGATTCCCAGTCAGGGAACCTGCCTAGGTTGCAGGCCAGGTCCCTAGTAGGGGGTGCATGTGAGAGGCAGCCAATTGATGTTTCTGTCCCTCTTTTTCTCCCTCTCTTCCCTTCTCTCTAAAAATAAGTAAATAAAATCTTTTAGAAAAATTCCCTCCCGATTTTACTCTCTCAACCCCAAACTCCTACTATATATCCCACAATTAAAATAATTTAAAATTTATATTGGTTTTTGAGACTTTCTTAACCAAGTTTAAGGGCATGGAAGATACTTTGGGGATTTTGAGAATCAGGGTCAAAGTTTCTGGAAAGCAGTAACAAATTTCATAGTTTGGCAGCACCCTCCCCAGGGTCCCAGGAAGTGTTATTGCACTGCTAGGTCTGTCTGGAAGGTGTGGGGTGTTAGCATTGTCATTTCCCAAAACTGTGGCCACATAGATCAGTCTAGCTGGCTGTCTGAGGGGGTGTTTGCCTCGAACCCCCTCACTGATCCTTTACAGGCCTCTTGAAAGCACTGGGTCACCAACCTGAATTGACATTCTGAAAGCCCCCTTCAGAGACAGAGAGCAAGAAAGACAGAATAAGTGTAAGTCTGGACAAGTCTAGTTGCAAGTGCCTGCAGGGCGTTCCAACACCTTGGGGTCCACTTCCAGTGAGGGCAGCTTTCCAGGCCCACCTCCCCTGAACATGGCTCAGTCCAAGCCCCATTTACAGTCTGAGGGGCCATGTGGGCCCTTTCAGGTTATTCTCCCAGCAACACAGTCCAGGCCCTGACCTTTCCCCAGTGCCCCTCCACTGCCCTTTCCTCCCTAGACTAGAGTCCAGGGCATGTCCCTAGACTTGTGAGGAGCAGGCTGGGTCTGGGTTGGGAAACCTGTAATTGACTATCATAGGAGAGCAACTGTGGAGAGCAGGACCAATAAAGTGGCATTGGTCTGGTCAAGAGAGCATGAAGTATATAAAACAAAAGGAGTCACTCATGTCAACCAAGATGGCTGCCAGTCGGCCTTAACATTTTGGTTCAAGAGGGAAACTACCTGAGTCACACTAGATACATCTAGCAAGGAGACACACCTAAGATATCTGCACATGTGATCAAAACAGTCCTGTCTGCAGAACAGGGCCACCCATAGATAGGCTCCTGAGCAAACTCCCCACTTGTCATCAAGGGTGCCATGACACCTATTAAGAGACCCAAAAGGGTGGAGTGCACCACTTTCAAGGTACAACTGAGGCAGGCTCCAGACCACTGCTGAGACAGACACTCTCCACATACCAGAGAGATGCTTCATGCCATGCTGATACCCCCTGGCACTGGCCACTGGAGGCTCTGCCCTGCTAGACTGAGGATGTCGTCTGCTCACCTGGCTCCAGAGACCCTGATGACTCCCTTGCCCACCGTGTTGTCTCCTGAACCTGTAGACTGAGACTCTGGGCCTCTGGTTCATTATTCCCTACTGATGGCTGTGTGTGTATGTGTTACATCTCTCTTAGATTGTTAGAATGTGAGTAGGATATTGCATGTTGATGTCCTACTTTGAGTGAACCTACATTCAATAAAAGCTGAGTGAATAGCATAGTTACCTGTGTGGCTCATCTATTTCTTGGTGCCAAGCTGCTCAGCAGGCAGCACTTGGCTGACTTATAGGAAAGACCGTATCACGAACGTATATGCTCACAACAGCAGCACCTCATGAGAAAATAATCTTTCTCCTCTCGTGTGCAGCTGTTGATCATGGAGCTGGCTATAAAATTTGCCATCTTTTCTGGGTTTGTTGATCTTTTCAAAGAACAGGCTTTTAATTTTGTTGACTTCCTCTATTATTTTTTCGTCTCTACTTCATTAGTTTCCACTCTAAACTTTATTGTTTCTTTTCTTTTCTTTCTTCTTTTTCTTTTTTACTTAGAATAGGTTCAGTTTGCTGTGCTTTTTTCCAGAGTTTTATGATAGGAGGTTAGGCTTGATATGAGATCTCTCTTGTTCATATAGTCACATCCAGCTAAAATTTCTCTCTGAGCACTGCTTTAGCTGCATCCTATAAATTATCGTGTGTTGTGTTAATTTGAATTCATCTCAACATGTTTTCTAATCTCCATTGGGATTCTCTTCTTTGACCCATTAGTCATTTGGGAGGACGCTGTTTGATTTCCACACATTTGTGAATATCTACTAGTTTCTACTGTTGATTTCCAACTTCGTTACAAGTGGTCAGAGAACATATTTTTTAATTATTTCAGTCCTTTTAAAATTTATTGAGACTTGTTTTTATGGCTAGCTTATTATGGTCTATCCTATAGAATGTTCTATGTGTGCTTAGAAGAATGTATATTCTGCCATTGTTAAGTGAAGTTTTCTATAGACGACCGTTATGTCTGATTGGTTTACAGCATTGTTCAAACCTTCCTGTTTCCTTGCTGATCTGTTTAGCTGCCTTATCCATTATTGGAAATGGGGTACTGAGGTCTCCAACCATTCTTGTTGAGTTGTCTCTTTCTCCTTTCAGTTCGGCCAGTTTTTGTTTCATGTTTTTTGGGGACTCCATTGTTAGGTGCATATATGCTTTGCTTATTATATATCCCAGTGGATTAACCCTTTTGCCATAATAAATGTCCTTCTGTGTCTCTACTAATAATTTTTGCCTCAAAGTCTATTTTGCCTGATGTTAGTATAGCCACTCCAGTTCTCTTTTGGATATTGCTTGCATGATATGTTTTTATATCCTTTTATTTTCAACCTATTTGTACCTTTGAAGCTAAAATCTCTTATGGCACCACAAGTTTGGATCATGTTTTTTCATTCATTCATTCTGCTAATCTCTGTCACTTAATGGAAATTTTAATTTCCCATCAGCTCTTACCTGAAGTTTCCTCCCTGGTCCTCCAACTTCCCCTGTTGTCTTCCCAGGACAATCTACACATGCAGCCAGAAGGACCCTTTAAAAATGTAAATCTAATCATAACTCCTTTGCTGATCGTCCCATGGCATCCACCAGAGGCCACAGGATGCTTTGTAATGAGTGACACCTGGTTACTGAATACATTCAAACACAGGGCTGCTTCCTTCCCACCCAGGCTACTTGAGAGCTCAGAGCACTGTTGACTTAAGTGTCATTTGCTGGCCTCTAAGTACGTTTCAGCCTAGGCCTTACAAGATCCAAGAAGATACTGGCTGGTATAGCTCAGTATATTGAGTGCAGGCCTGCAAACCAGAGGGTCGCAGGTTTGATCCCCAATCAGGGCACATGCCTGGGTTCCAGGCCAGGTCCCCAGTGAGTGCCATGTGAGAGGCAACCATACACTGATGTTTCTCTCCCTCCCTTTCTCCCTCCCTCCCTCCCTCCCCCTCTCTAAAAATAAATAAAAATTTTTTAAAAAGAAAGCAAGCGATGAATGCATAAATAAGTGGGACAACAAATTGATGTTACTCTCTCTTTCCTTCTGTTCTCTCTCCAAAATTAGTCAATAAAATTTTTTTAAAAAAGATCCAAGAAGACTTCTTAGAACGTGGCAATCATCAGAGAGCTTACTTCTCTTCTCCACCAGCCACACCCAACTTTGTGTTTTCCCCTCTTCTCTCCCTCTTCAGTCCATGAAGACCCTGCAGGATTTGCTCACTGACATTCACGCACTCAAGGCCACCACTGAAACCCTGCGGAAGGACGTGGACACGCTGATGGACACGGTTAATAAGGTAGACCCTCCCCATCATCCTCCGAGCTGGCCATGCTGTTCGTACTGCTGGTGGGTGGGTGACAGAATAAATCTAGGAAGCCTGTTATTAGTCAAAGGACACAGCCATGGGGGCAGGAGAGGAGCTGACATGGTCCAGCCACTAGGCTCATCCCCCTGAACTCTCCATGGCTTCTACCATGCTGTGTTCCTCACATTGCAGTGTTAGGACACCATCTGCAAGTGACAGAAACTTAGTTCATTCCAGCTTAGGTAAAAAGTCCATGATGGTTTCAGGTACTGCTAGATCAAGGTGATCATACCAGATCAACACCTTTCAGTGATGATTTTCCCTTGGGTTGGCTTCATATTTAGGTAAGTAGGTATTCCCTAAGTCTTGGCTACTTCAGGCTTCTGTTCCATCAACCTAGGAGAAAGAGAACACCTCTTCCTCCTCTAGAAAGCTCCGTTTATACTAAGAAGTGGAATAGACCTAGCACAGGCCTACATGCTAGCTCCTTCTGTAGCCATGAGGACATCAACCCAGGCATGTTCTAACTCCTTCCCACGATGTGGAAGGACATGGAATTTCTGAAGTGTGATCTCATAGCTGAGGAGTCAGAACTGGGTTCAGAAGGCAGCTCTACACACCCCTCAGGTTGGTGTTGTGGCCGAGGTGTTACAAGCAGTCTCCCAATTATATGATTTTGTTATTGTCCCCAGTACACAGTTCAGTGTACAGATTTGATTGTCAGAGCAACTGTGAGGACTTCGGTCTTGGGCTAGGTAGCTCCCATCTGAGCAAAAAGGGCAATGTTAGGAATCTGTGTCATGAAACACTAAAAAGAACCCTTGGACAAATCTGTTGAGAAACAATGCCCTCTCAGCTTACCTCTTGGAGATTCTTAATGTACATTTGTCCATTAAGGGCTCTGAGAAGTCCTACAGTACACACACCCATGGAAGGCTTTTTAAGCCCAACATTTTCCAAACTTATTTGCCTAGAAAACCTTTTCCCACACCTTTCTTACTCTCTGGGACACACTTTTTCTTCCTTCTCCAGCTCTTAGTCACCTAGACCTAAGTCCTTGTATTTAAGCAGTGGGAGAAGCAGGGCCAGGACCAGAACTTGCACTCCTAACCCATGGGTTTGGCTCATTTGACAGATACACCTGGAAAGAGTAACCACTTTTTTTGATGATTTGAAAGTGCAGAATCGGAAGATGAATGCGCTGCAGCGGGACGTGGTGAGGGCCTTAGTCCCATTGTTCCACCCTGGTCCCCTGACCTCCAGGACCGGGGGTGCCTGCCTAGGTCTGGGAGGGGAAAGGAGGGGAACACAATCTGGAAAGGCTCATTTATCTGCACATGTGGAGGGCAGTGTGGATGAGGGCGTCACACAAGGGCGTCATATACTTCAGGTTCACATCCCTCAATCCCAACTCCATCCTCTACCCCATAGGCTACTCTCCAGAACAAGATTCTCACCATCCCCAAAACTGAGGAGTTGGTACTCTGGAGTGGCCTCCACGAGGCTATGTTCAGCCCAGTAAGTGAAGGAGGATAGAGGAAGGGGAAGTGGGTGTGAGGGAGCAGGCAGGGCGACCGCTGCGCTGGCTTCGGACAGCCCTGGCCAGCCTAGCTACTTTTTCCACAGGCAGCTACTTCACTACAGCTGACGGATTCTGATCTGTGGCAGATTACAGATCAGCTCCAAGAGACTGACCTTCCCCAGACCACCACGTACCTTGAAAGTGTTGGTCCGAGCCAGGTCTCAGAGGCTGTCCAACTCCCCAAGCTCCTGGACACCGCTTGGCATTACCAGGTCCCAGAGCAACTACAGGAGGAGGAGTCTGCCCAGGCAGTTTCACTCACTGGGGCCCAGGGGTTGGGGCAGCCTCAGGTGCTGGAGCATCGTCCAGCAGTCAAGACTGGGGCTGCACCTGAACCAAGGCCTGGTTCCGTGCTGAGGCCAGAGCCTAAGACCATGCCTATACTTGGGCCCAGGCCGGGGCCCCGTCTGACACCTGACTTCACACCAGCACATTGGCTTCCATTCATGTCAAGGGCTGCCCGCGGACCTGGGCCTGCCCCTGGGCTTGAGCCTGCGTTCGGACCTGGGCCTGCCCCTGGACCTGGGCCTGCCCCTGGGCTTGAGCCTGCGTTCGGACCTGGGCCTGCCCCTGGACCTGGGCCTGCCCCTGGGCTTGAGCCTGCGTTCGGACCTGGGCCTGCCCCAAGCCCTCAGTTCGCACCACCGGGATTCTGGCCTTTCATGCCAGGTAGCTGGCCTCCTCCCAGAGGCATGCGCTGGCCTACCCCTGGGCCTTTCTGGGACTTAGGTTACATCCAGCCTAGCCAAGGCCCAGCGGGCCCCGTGTCTGCTCAGCCCCCGGGCTTGAGGGCCCCACCACCAGCCACAGAGGTTGGCTCTGCTTGGCTTCATCCACTATGGTCACAGTCTCACCATGCAGGGCTGCACGAGTTCCCATTTGTCTCAGAAAGTAGGGAAGAAGATCACTTACATCACAAGAAAATCCCTCAGGATGAAGCCCGCAGAGCTGAGGCCCCTAAGGAAATGCCTCCTAAGGACCCCCGTTCTGCCCTTCAGCAGATGAAAACCACGGCTGCCGTTGCAGCTGCTGCCGCCGCCACCTATGCAGCTGCTGCAACCTCAGCAGCCCGGGCAGCCAGGGTCGCTGCCAAGGTCGTCAAGGATGCCCCCGCCACCAAACTGGCCACGGTAGCAACAACGGTGGCTGCATCTGGGCCCCTAGGGGTCTTCGCAGATGTCGTGGGCGCTGGGTCTTCCCGTGGGGCCACAGGCACCGTGGCCTTCCCTAAAGACACTGAGATGGAAGACTTGCACGAGGCGGACTACGACGACCTCTTGTCTTCTCCGTATGCTTCTGTCTTCATCACACCCGATGCTACCCTCTCCCAGTCCATGGTAGTGGCCAAACAAGCTATGACCCCTGAAGACAAGAAGAGGGCCGTCAAGTATTCCATGAGCCACATAGCCCAGATACCTGTTCGACATGACTCCCTGAAAGAAGAGTTTATCCAGCTGTCAACCAACATGGAACAGCGCATAGGTTACCTAGGTAGGCCCAGACTGGCTCTGGGAAAGGTGGTAAGGGCTCAGGCCCTCACTCTGGCCTTAAAGAAGCACCTCCTTACCTTTGTTTAACTGCCCCCAACAAAATTTACGTTCAGCCATTCACCGTTCATTCCTTTGGTAAGCAGTAGCTAGCCTCTTTCTAGTCTACTCTATCCTTTAGAATGAGCGTATAGTGAGGTCTCATCTTAGGACAGAGGGGGCAGTTTTGAGTCTAAAGCTGGTGCTTAAAGAGGAAATTTTTATGTCAAAAATCACCATTGAAAATCGCCCATAAAACCCAGTACTACTGTATAGTGTTTTGACAAATCCAGGTCCTCCAGTGTCCAGCAGTGCTGAACAGGCCCCAGGTGAAATGATCGATTTGGGACTAGGAACAACTGCCAGGCGAACACGGAGACGCTTAAAGGCCATAGGCACGTTCAGGGTGGCAGCGGGGCCGGTAGATTTATGCTTCATCTCATGCCCACGATGGGAGTATGGTCACTGAGGGGTATGGAGGGACACAGTGGCTCACTTCAGTGGTTGTCAACTTTGAGCCTGCCTCAGCAACCCCTGTGGGGCTTAGTAAAGCACAGACTGTGGGGCCCGTCCCCAGTTGCTGACTCAGGCTACTGGCAGGGGGGTGGGGAGGTAGGCAAGAATGTACACCAAGAATTTCTAACCCTTCCTGGGGAAATGTTGCCGATGTTGCTGGCTTGGGACCCCGCACTGAGACCCCTTTTCCTACCCTTTTAAAATTGTTATCTTGTTTTGCTCTCTGCCAGGGATAATGGTTGAATTAACCTAAGTCCAACCCATGTACAGTGCCGCCCCTGATGGGCGGTACTATTCCGCAAACCTTGAGAGAAAAAGAACTTTGCATAGCTACAAAGAACCACGCCGAACCCTGGCTGGTGTGGCTCAGTTTGTTGAGTGTCATCCTACAAACCAAAAGGTCACCAGTTCGATTCCTGGTTCAGGTACATGGTTCCCAGCTGAGGCCAGTGAAGCAGTCAACCACTGATCGGCGGACGGTCCTCTCTCACATCAATGATTTTTCTCACTCCCTTTCTCCCTCCCTTCCCCTCTCTCTGGAATAAAAAACAAAACTAAAACAAACAAAAAAACACCTACATTGGTATCAGTGATACTGGGGCACAGCTAAGGTTCTGATAGTAATGAATTTAAACTTAAAATGTAAAGCTGTCATAGCCCAAAGCCTACCACTGCTCAGCTGCTATTTTTGTTAAGAAAGCGACTGTCAGGCTGTAGACATACCGCGGCTGCAGTTTTTCAAACATCCCCAGCTCCGACCTATACATTAGTTTTTTGGCCTCTCACCTGGAACTGGATATAACATACTTTTTTTTACATTATTTTTTTCACTACCATTTATCTCACCTATACCCTCTCCCACCTCTACCCACCCCTTCCCCACAATGTATTTTTTTACCCCTCTCCTCTTTTGTTAAATATTCCTTTTTATTTTGCAGTGAATAATATATTTATAAATAAGGTACTTTATAGTTTTTTGCTCAGGGTGTTTTTGGGAGGGGAGTTGATTCTGGTTTTTTGTTTTGTTTTGTTTTTTTAGTTAATTCTGGAGCATGTTCTCTAGATCTGCTCTGTCTGATATGATAACCTGGAAACACTCGTGGCTATTGAGCACTTGACCTGGGGCGATTTCAAGGTCAGATGTGCTCGCAGTGGGAAACACACAGTGGATATTGAAGACTTAATACAGAAACAAGAATATAAAATATCTCAATAATTTTTATTATATATTTAAAGGATATTATTTTAGATATATTGGGTTAAAATGTCTTATTAACATTAATGTCACCTGCTTCTTTTTAGATTTTTAAAATGCGACTCCTAGAAAACTTTAAATGACCTCAAAGGCCCCCAAGCTCCCAGCACAATATCTCTCTATCGGACAGCGCTGCCTCCGGCATAAGAGAAGCAGGTGGGGCTCTAAACAAAGCATCTTCCCCTGTTCCTGCCCCTAACAGCCACCCTCTCCTTTGCTTTCAGCTAGTATGGGAGCCTCTACCAAGATTGAGACAACAGTGGACATACTGCAAGAAAAGGTTAGCAGTCTCCAGAAGTCCAGGATGCAGGTCAGTGAATTGGGCAGAAAGAGCTTTTACTAAAGAGCATGATGATGGGAGACAAGCTGATGGCCGACTATGACCCAGAACTAGACAGAGCATTATTTGTCTTGTAGCTCAAAAGAGGCCTGGGGCAATGAGGGGCGGAAGAGGCAGCTGCAGCCCAGCAGCCTGCTCCGCTCCCGCTGGTGCAGGGCCACCCCCCCCCCCCCCCCACCATGGGCCCGGGTCCTCCTGGCGGTTAAGATGGCGGGTCAGAGGCACACTGGCCTGGTGCATTCTTCACGCCCCATCTCACCCATGGTGACCTCAGCAGCAGAGGCCTAGGACGTCTGTTTCTGCCCCCTTTAGGAAGAGGAACTCGAGAGAATTTGGGGCCACCAAATAGCAGTGGTAAAGGATCACTACGTCGTGCTGGACAGGGCAGTGGAACAAATCCATGCTCGCCTGGATGAGTTAAAGGTTCGGAGGTCTGGGGTCCCAGAACGGGCAGCTGAAGGGACAATTCATCGGGATATTAGACCAGGGTTTCACATATACGAAGGCAGGGGAACCCGTGGACATTTTAGCGGCATTTTCTTACGCATAAATGACACTTCAATTAGAAACAAACAACCCCGCCTCGCCCACCACGTGCACACACGCGAAAACGGAAGGGCCTGGATGGCGTCCCTCTTGTTGACCACAAGGGGTCGCCCCTTCTAGGACAGGGTCGCCCGCCCCTAGAAGGACGCCTGGCCTACAGTGGAGGCTCAAAACGCGTTGAAAGAATCCAGTGACTCAGAGGATTTCTTGCACCAGCTGTTACATCATTCATAACTCTCCCCTACACCACCTCGTTTCTGACCCATCAATGCCTAAAGGCCTTTTTGGAATAGCAGAGTTGCTGGCACAAAAAGTGTGGAGACCACACGGAACACTCACCCCACCAGACACTATCTCCATGAGCCTGAGGGGTTCTGACTTTCTGAGCTGGACCTCAGGGCCAGACATTTGGAGAAGGGACCAAGGTCATTCCCAGTAGGAGATGACCTTCTCCCACAGTAGAAAGAGAAGTCCCAAACCGGGCAGTCAACCGAGGCAGTTTCTATGAGGGCTTCTGCTTTCCTATCAGGGGGCTACGGGTAGGATGAAGTAGAATGCAGGGGGCAAAAGGGGAGGACCCACACAGGGCAACTGAGACAGTAAAGAACTTCTTCGCCCTGGCTGGTGTGGCTCAGTGGATTGAGTGCGTGCCTGCGAATCAGACGATTGCGGTTCAATTCCCAGTCAGGGCACATGCCTGGGTTGCAGGCCAGTTCCCAGCAGGGGACGCATAAGAGGCAACCATACATTGATATTTCTCTCCCTCTTTCCTTCTCTTCCCTTTTAAAGATAAATAAATAAAATCTTAAAAAAAAAAACAAAACAACTTCTTCTATGCGGGGAACTGGTTCCCAGCCTACCTGCAGGTGGTAGGTGGAGCTCTGGGACTGTGTACGTACGGAGGAGACCAGGGCTATAGGACTGTGTGAGTACCGAGGTCAAGCATAACATCATCTCTTGCCAACGCTGTGCCCTTTTTCGTCACTGCTTCAAAGAGGCCAGGTTGCTGTGTCCGAGGCAGATATTGGTGCCCTTCCTCAGTGGAGATGAGCCAATTCATTAAACATGTCTGTTGTGTACCCAGCACTATGCCCTGCCCTGCAGGCACCGGGGAGGCGAGGTCACAGGACCTGGCTCCAAGGAGTCGTCACTTGTTGAAAGAAACTCCGGAGAATGAGGCCCAACCACCAGCACCAAGTAAGATGAGGCAGCCTCTGTCTCGACGACCTTTCTGTCCTTTGGGCCCACAGCAAAGAAGTAATTGTTTATGAAAGTTAAACCCGGAAGAGCACACTTTGTATAGAACACATATTTCATGAAATATATCTTAAATGAACATGTGCGACAGATCGGCAGCCCCGTGGAGCCCTTCCAGTAGAGAAATGAGGGCACGCAGACACCTCGGGAGCAGCTGTTACCGCTTTACCTGGACGTCTGTGAGAAAGTGTTATGAACATAACAGGTGACGCAAAAAGTCCTCTTACTCATTCACTGAGTCGCTCCGCCGCTGTTACTGAGCCTTCACGCTGCACCAGACGCCCTTCTAGGGCCTGGTGATACAGCAGCCAACAGGACAGACACCATCTAGGTTCTTCTGTGTTTGAAAGTGAGCAGCGGTGTTTGTGTCTTTGACCAAAGTATACTTTATGCACAGTAAAATGCCCAGGTTTTAAGTATAAGAGGTGGATAAATTTTTGCCTATTTACATCCCCGTGTCCCCACCACCCAATCAAGATGGACACATGTCCATCGCCTTATGAAATGTTTATTAATTGATTTTTAGAGAAAGAGAAGGAAGAAAAGAGAGAGAAAAACATCAATTTGTTGTCCCACTTTTTAATGCATTCACTGGGGATTGAACCCACAACCTTGGCATATCAGGACAACACTCTAACCAACTGAGCTACCCAGCCAGGGCCATATCTATTACCTTTGAGTGTATCTCTTAGAGTGCATCCCACTAAAAACACAGCAGGAAAATAAGTGAGAACAGAACTCTTTCTTTTTGACTTGATGGAAACATTACTTTCTCTTTGCAAGAGGATGTGATGGAGCTTTGCAATAATTAGAATTAGGTTCAACTTTGAATAACGTAACCCCCCAAATAACTGACTGAAACAAGGTACCTCAGAAAAACAAGAAAGTCAGAGATGATTAACTTTGGCGGGTCTCAAATTCCCTGACGTGTGATTTCCATTCACAAGGTCACCTCAGGCTCCAAGGTGGCTGCTGGTGCTCCAGGCATTAACTCCGCACTCAAGCCAGCAGTGAGGACAACACCTGCCCACTTTCCTATTCGCCCCAAGGGCCACACCAAGCTATAAGAGAGGCTGTGAAATGCAGTCTTGATTCTGGGAGGTCACACGCCAGCTAAAAGTGGGAGGTTCTGTTGTGGAGGGTGAGAGGAAGACCAGATATGAAGGGAGAAGTAGAAGCCTGTTTTCCGATTTGGAGGAAAAGAGACCTCTGGGGACATGGCCCAGTGGGCATGAGGCTCTTCCTGACCCACTGTGAGGGCCCAGAAAGTGGGCAGAGTTGATGGAGGGAGTTGGTTCTTCGTGGAGTCTCAGGGATGGGAGTGTGTCCCACATGTAAGCACTTGGCTGGTGAATAGACTGCGATTCCTGCAGGGACCTCACGACAGGCCAGAAGAGATGAACTTCCCTGAAACACCTGGGGAGCTGAAGCACCAGCTTTGGCTTATTCTTTCCCTCCTCAGGTCTGCCTCCCTGTGCAGTGAAGTTGCCATGCCCGTCCCCCACATGACAGCGTCTCCCAAGTCCCACATGTCTTCCCTTCTAACCTGGGCACCAGGGGTCCAGGAGCCCAGGCCCTCCCATGTGCCCGCCCTACCTGCTGTCCACCCGGCCTCAGTGTCCCACAGCAAGGGTGGAGTTGAGAGGCAGGCATTATCCTCAGGGCTCCCAAGGTTGGTGGACATTCGCTTTGCTTCTGTTCTTAGATTCTCCAAGCTCAAATAAAAGACCTAGAAATGCACAAGGCAGACAAAAATTCGATGGAGCAGGAGTTGAAAGAGGTGAGTGAGCAGATTCCTCACCCCTTCCTGTTCCCCAGTCCTGAGCCCCAGCTCTGCCACCCAGGGAATGGAATCAATCACCCAAGACAAATCCTGGCAGTGAGATTTCAGGGTCTTATTCATATGGAAAGGGGGGCTTTGGATGGTTAAGCAAAAGCACGGAAGGAACACTTTAACTCAAAAGTGTGTACCTGCGACACACGAACGGAACAAACAATCAAAAGTGTTCCTATTTTCAGTGACTCAGGATTAGTGACAATGTGTTATGTGAACTTACAAACCACGCACCAACTTCTCTGTCCTAGGAAAACCATGCCTCAGATCTGACCGTTGTCTTTGAGTCAACATAGGCCCCAGGATAGAATTTAAGCCAAGGCTACGTGTCCAGGGTCCCAACTTGAAAAAACTAACCAAAGTGGTCCAACCTCCCCCAGCTTCCCCTTGCTCCCACCTCAGCCGCTCTGCTTCTCTGAGTCCCTTCTCTCTCTAGAAAGCCGACAGGAGCACCCTGGCGGGCAAGGCAAGCAGGGTTGACCTGGAGGCGATGACAATGGAGATGAACGAGATGATTCAGAGCATGCTATTCAGGGTCGTGTCCAATGAGGATGACTGGAAGAAGGCCATGGAGCAGCTCAGCAAGGACCTGGGCACCAAAGTGAGTTTCCCTGTATCAGGTTTATCACTCGCTGCATAACAAATTACTCTGGAATTTAGCGGCTTAAGGCAACAAGCATTTAGTTTTTGAAGGTCAAGCCTTTGGGAGCAGCTTAACTGGGTGGCTCCGGGTCTCCCATGAGGTTGCAGTCAAGGTGTCATCTGGGGCTGCAGTCCTCTGCAGGTGACCAGGGCTGGAGAAATCACTTCTAAGGTGGCCCCCTTCCATGGCTGTGGCAAGGCTCCTCACCCCTCATCCCATGAACTCCTCAAGGCCACACTTGGGTAGCCTCACAACGCTACAGCTGACTTCCCTCAAAATGAGTGGCCAGGGGAGCCTGATGGGTCCGAGCTTTCACAGACATCGGCTGGAAATCTGTGAAGAGCTCTCTTTCATCAATTTGAGCTGATTACCCTGAAATATAGTTCCTTCAAGGAAAGAAACAACGCTAAATTATTTCCTTTATGACCGACCAGTTTTCACGGTAACATATCGATGGAAATAGCCACATCCAAAACACCGTGGCCAATGAGGGTTTCTATTTTTATTTTTTTATTTCTTCTTCGTGAGAGTCGCCACAAGTCATGGATTTTTATACATTCAATACTCAATTCATTTGATTAATTAAGTTACTATTTATTTTGTCACTCATATGGTCTCATCTTTGGCCTGTGAGCTGGCTTCTGAGCCCTTCCACTGGACCCTCTGTCATGAGATATCTGTCTTATGTCCTAAATGACAAGCTGTTCCAGGCTGATTGTCAGCATTCTCTTCCTCAGACCTGAATCGGCCGTATCGCTGTGGAGTCTGGTTCCTTTCAGTGGGGAATGGTGTTTAGAGACCAAAATCTGGGCACTGGAAGGAACACTTTAAAAATTCAGAAGTCTCACTTCACAAAAGAGTCTGGCAGTTTTTCAAAAAGGCAGACAGAGAATTGCCGTACCACTCAGCATGTCACTCCTAGATACAGATAACCAAGAGAAAACTGGTGTCAATGTAAAAACTTGGATAAGGATGTTCATTGCAGCGTTATTCGTAAGAGGAAAAAAGTGGAAACAACCCAAATGTCCATCAAGGATGAATGGGTAAACAAAATGTAGTCTAGCAATAAAATCAAATATTATTCATCCCATAAAAAGGAATGAAGCACTGATACATGCTACGACCTGGATAAACCTCGAAAGCATTATACTCAGTGAAAGGAGCCAGACAAAAAAGGCCACAAACGGTGTGATTCCATTTATATGCAATGTTCGGAACAAGCAAATCTACAGAGACAAAGCACAATAGATTAGTGGTTGCCTACCTCTGAGGGTGTAGGAGGAAATGGGGGTGACTGCTAATGGGGATGAGGCTTCTTTTGGGAGTGATGAGAATGTCACAAGATTGACTGTGGTGATTTGATGGTCCCACAATTCTGTGAATATATTTAACGCCATTGAATGTATAGGCTGCACTCATTACATATGCGATGAATGTGTGAATATAGATTGTCTGGAGGCCACTGGGAGGAATGTTTCTCAGGCCTGCGGTCCTGTAGTTGAGCATAGGTTTGGCTTCATCACTTGGAGGCAGTAACTGATGCCGTTTCTTTGCCTGGCGTGCTGGTAAGGTCACGCGGCCGCTCGCTCCCTTCTGGCATTAGCATGCCAAAGGGGTACAAACCATAACCCAGGCTTGTCAGTTCCCTCTCCTTAACCACCTCGCTTTTTCTGTTTAATCCTGTTACACTCTGTAACTTTGCAGGTTACTGCAAATCCTTTTCTGGAGGGTGGCAGGATATGAATTAGTTGACTAAACATTCTTTTCTTCCCTTTGGCTATTGCAGCTGGTCCACGGGGATTTGGATGATCTAAAGAAAGACATAAATGAGGTCGAGCAATTAGTCAAGAAGCTGCTAATCGAAGGCCTCCGATTTGATCCAGACAGCGCTGCTGGCTTTAGGAAGTGAGCCCCTTCTGGGTAGGGGTGGAGCTTGTGGAGACTGGGGGATCCTCCAGGGAGGAAACAAGAGGGGGATCCCAGAGGATTCTGGGAGCAAGAATTCCAGACCTATTGACATGGGGAGGTGGGATGAGCTTCCCAGTGGGTGTGGAAAGGGTTGGGGTAAGGTTGGGAGCACTGGTCTTGACTGGCAGAGGGGCTCCAGGAGCACAACTGTTCCAAAGCTTTTTTGCCACAAATGAGGAGGTTCAGAGAGGAAAGGAGCCATGCAAGTAGGAGCCTGGGTGGATCTGGGACCACAGCCAGGTCCCCTGCCCCCATCCACACAGCACCCCCAGACACAGGGATGTAATGTCTGGGGAGCTCCTGTCCTCGGATCACCCCTCATGCCTCTGTGAAGGCTACTGTGTCTACTGTGAAGGTTAGCTTTCCAGGAGGTCCCTGGTTTTAAAGACCTCCACTAATTATGTTTAAGGTAGGGAGGTACACTACACTTTTATTTCCTCACCTCTGCCTCAATGGCCGCAAATGGAGGCCAGCAGAGGCTGGCGGAACTGAGGGGAGTTGGCCCAGGCCAGTGGGTATAGGATGTGGGTGGAAGTCCCGGCCCTGATTCACAGACAGACCTGCATCCTCCCCCCACACACTGCCTGGGGACAGGGCAGCCTCGCAGGGCCTGACTGGGGTGTCACAGCTGATGAATGGCTGTCTTCCAGGAAACTGTTTGAGCGGGTGAAATGCATTTCCTGCGACCGGCCCGTAGAGATGATGACTGGCCCGTGAGTACCGCCGCCAGGGGGCGCCCACGCCCTCTCTCGGACGGACAGACACTCACCCTCCCCCAACCCCTCCTCGCCCACCGCCCCAAGTGCCTGCGTTGTTCTGGGAACATCTATAGGCACATCCACTTACTCGTCCTGTAGACATCATTTCATTGCTCCCTGTCCCTCATCGAGCCACCACCATCCCTTCCTTTCTTCATCAGCACTGTCGGGGTGCCCACTGTCCTAGGGACTGGGTTTAACTCCAAAAGAAAAATAGTTGTGACCTAGCTGGGCAGCTCTGTTGGTTGGAGCGTCATCCTGTACACGGTAAGGTCACAGGTTTAGTCCCTGCTCAAGGCGTGTGCAGAAGGTATCGGGTCTCTCTCCCTCTTTCTCTTTCCCTTAAATCAATAAATATATTCTCGGGTGAGGATTTAAAATAATAAAAAATAATAACAACAGTAATAATAATGGAAGAAAACTATAGGGGAAAGCAGAACTTTGTCGGAATTCCTCACATGTATTTGTACAATCTAGTACTTTATTTAATGATGTGAAATTCACATAAGAGTAACCATTTAAAGTAAATGATTCAGGGGGATCTACTTCATTCACCATAATGTGCAGCCACCACCTTTAATTCCAAAACACTTTTATTGTTCCAAAAAGAATCCCCTGATTTACTAAGCAATCACTTCTACTGCCCGCTCCTGACAACCTCGAATTTACTCCTGTCTATAGATTTGTCTATGTTGGACCTTTCATAGAAATGGAATCCTACAATCTATTGTCTCCTGTACTTGGCTTCCTCCACAGAGCATAGTGTTTAAGTTCCTCCATGCTGTACTGTGTGCCAGTACTTCACTCCTTTTTGTGGCTGAATAATATCCCATTGTATGGAGAGGCCACACGTATTGTTGGTCAGTTCATACACTGATGGGCATTTGGTTGTTTCCACCTTTTAGCCTTAATGAATAGCACTGTTATGAACATGCATGCAATATATTTGTTTGAACACCTGTTTCCAATTCTTCTGAGTGTAAACCTGAGAGTGGAAGTGCTTGGTGATGTGGTAACTTTGTGATTAACTTTCTGAGGACCCACCTGACCATATTCTGGTTTAAGAGCTAGGAGCTCGCATGTCCACGGCCTCTGTGGTGTTAATCTGGCCCTGGTGACCAGTGAGGCTCAGCAATACCTCCATGCCAGTTCACACTCATGGAGGGGCTTTGGAGCTATAATCAGAATTTTTCTTTCAGACAACAGATACCTAGTTGCAGTATTTGTTATAATAGTTTTTTTTTAAAAAAAGGAAACAACCTGAAGTGGTAAATGAGTTACAGTAAATTCATTTACCATACACAGTAATACATACCGTACAATTTATACAGTATATTCAGCCAATACAGATCATGTCGTAAAAGAAACCACATAGCAGGAACTTCTGAGATGCAGAAATGATCTCCAACTACAGTGTCCAATGCAGTAGCCACTGGCCACATGCGGCTGTTGAGCACCTGAAACATGGCTAATACGACTGAGAAACAGAATTTGAAACTTACTTAAATTTAGTTAATTTAAATGGCCACGTGGCCAGTGGCTGCCATATTGGCTAGCACGGTTGAGGTAGAATATGAATGACCTGGGAAAGGTTTTGCAATAACTTAAATGAGAAAATCAAGTAGTAGGTGTGTTATGATCCCATTTTTGTTAAAATATATATATATATATAAACATTGAAAAAATACTGGTAGGACACATATCAAAATATGTGTCACATGGTTACAATACTTTTTTGCTTATTTGTGCTTTTATATGCTTTCTAAAGTGCAGGCAATGTGTATTACTTTAAATTTTATTGTGGCTTAAATACATACAATAAAGTATGTAAATGTTACTGTACAGCTTGATAAGTTTTTTTTAATCCTCATCCAAGGACATGCTTATCGATTTTAGAGAGAGGGGAAGGGAGGAAGAGAAACATTGATGAGAGAGGGAAACATTGATCAGTTGCCTCTTGCACACACCCCAAATGGGGACCAAACCCGCAAACTAGGTATGTGCCCTAACTGGGAATCGAACACGCCACCTTTGAGTTTACAGGACATTGCTCCAACCAAATGAGCCACACCGGCCAAGGGCTTGGTGAGTTTTGTGTGTATACACACCTTCGTAACCACCATGCGGATCAAGATGTAGACCAGATCCAGCTCCTGAGAAGGCTACTGGTTTATTTTTATTTTTATTGAGGTAAAGTACACATAACATAAGTTAATCACTTTATGGAGAACATTGCAGTGGCATTTTGTACATTGACAATGTTATGCAGGCCCCACCTCCAGTTCCAGAACATTTCCATCAGCCCAGAAGGAAATCCCTTACCTGTTAGCTGTCACTTCCATTCCCCTTGCCCCCAAGCTCTGACCACCTCCAGTCTGTGTCTGGTGTTTACTTTTATAACTGGAGCATTTAAAAATGATAATTGGAACATTTTTTAATGACTTACAAAGATTATCGAGGTTCCCCAGAGGCCTGTGGGGCGGCCTCAAGCTAAATTTGAGGGTGGCTTCCGGAGAAGGTGGGAGCCCAGCGCCCTCTGCTGGCCATGTATGCCTACTACTGAGCAAGATCTTGTTCAACAGACACCTCATCACCATCCGCAAAGCCCACCTGCTGTCTCGGCTTCGTCCAGCTAGTGCCAACAGCTACGAGTACCTCCAGCGACAACAGATGAGGTGAGAAGACCAGAGTTCTGCCCCACAGAGGACACTAGGGACCCAGGATCCCTGCAGAGACCTAAACTCTAGTCCCAGGATGCAAAGACTATCCCAGGGCATTGCCAGCCATCTGCTAGGGAAATGTTCGGGGAGACAGCTAGGGCAGCAGACAGGCATGTGAGACGATCACAGAAGAAAGGAATGGACATATTTACTGGGCATCTATTATGAGCCAAGAATCACCAGGGAAGGGTTTCTTATTTAAATCTCACAACCCTCTATGAGCTAGGATTAATATGCCTGCTTCTTGCTGGAGGACATAAGTAAAGATGGTGAGACTTGCTGTGGCCGGGCAGACACTGTGCTAAGCACTTTGACATACTTGACCTCATTAAATCCTTACACTTTGCCCTTTGAGGTATATTCTATTATCATCCCATTTCACAGTTGAAGAAATTGAGGCTCAGAGAACTTAGGCAACCTGCCCGAGGTCACAGGTAGTAAATGGCAGAGCTGGCACCTAAATCTGAGGGTTTCCACCAGACCCAGCTGGCTCCCTGGGTCCCAGCCCCATTCCTCACCCTCTGGACATCCCATGGCTTCAAGGTGTTTCTCACCCCCAGGTGGGGAAATAATAGTAACCACAGACACACAAAGGGAGGGACCTGGGAACCTGTGCCCTGTGCCCTTACATCCCTTGCCTGATTCTTTCTGGAGATCAAGAGGTTAAGAGCATACATTTGGCAGGTCACATCAGGCCTCCAGGGGTGGCTGGGATCTGGGGAATGTAGGCCTCGATTTTTTCTCTGCCCCCACACTGCCTGCTTCTATCCACCCACCAGGCCCCAGGCCTGCTCGGCTACACCACCCAGAATCAGCTGGAAGAAATTCCCATCTTCCCTCATTATTAGCCAGGTCCTTAGGGCCTAGCCTTAGGCTCCTTGGGGGTAGAGGGGTCTCCAGGTGGCTGCTGACCCTCCTGCCCTGTCCAAGGGAACAGCAGCAGCTACAGCAGCTTCAGGACCTTGGAGACAAGGAGGACTGGAGCGATGGCCCTGGGAATGACACCAACCGCAAGTTCAAGTCATATAACTTGTCAACACTCTACCCCTACGGGGACCCTGAGGTGTTGGACTATGATACTGTGAGTCAGGCCGAAGCCTGGGCGGTGGGCGACCTGGGGTGCTCCTTTTGCTGGGCCTCTGTGTATACTACACAGGCTCAAGGTCATTCCCTTACCTGGGGCCTGGGCCATCCAACAGGCCGAGGTGGACATCCTGGGAGTGGACGGGATCCTGTACAAGGGCAGAATGAACACCCAGGACGAGGCACGGCCACTGACCAGTGTGAAGGAGCCAGCTGGTGAGAGGCGTCAGACTTTCCTGGGCACTCCTGCCTAGTGTCCTGGCTTTGCTGGCCAGCTTAAACAGAGGCCCTGGCAAGCAGAGCCCAGAGCTGGCACCATCCCTGACTGGGGGGTCCTCACACAGCCACTTGTGAAAGCAAGGTTCTACTGTATGCCAGACACTGCACCCAGTGCCAGGGAGACAAAGGGGAGCGAAAACAGTGGTTATGCTCTGGAGTCTCCGTGTAAGTAGAAGAAGCAGACTGTAAGCAGATAACTGAAGGTGAGGCTGAATAACTGACCCGAAGGGAAGGCCCTGGTCCTAGGACTGTGTGTGACAAAGTATGTGGGCTAGGAAGGGGTGCTGGTGGTCGCCCCAAAGGTGGATGCTGGGCTGGTGATGGGAGAGTTGTGACAAGGGGCGCTGGCCCAAGGAGAGGGACGGGGTACTGCCCTGAGGCCTCTGAAAAGGGACCAAGTTTTCTCTAGATGGAGGGCTCAGGTGGGAGGAGAGCAGTCCAGGTGGAAGGAATAGCAGGTGCAAAGTCTCTGGGGCGGATGCGAGCCAGGCACAGTCAGGCACTCAGACAGGTGAGTCCACCTGAGATGCAGAGATTGGGGTGGGGTGGGGTATGATGAAGAGGACACTTGGACAGACCGCGAAGTCTGTGTTCTAATGTCAAGGGCAGGTTAGGGTTGGGTCGGAGGAGAGTCTGTCACACGTGTGGAATCAGTCCTCTGGTTGCTGCAGTGTTGAGGCCCTGGCTGCAGACGGCTTCTCCTGGGGACCCCACCATGCAGCTCCAGCACTGGGCCAGCAAGACCAAAAGGGGCACCTTTCTGGGGCCGGGGACTGCATCGCTCCGGTCCCTGCCTTCATCTTTGCATAGCCTGCTCACGGTGTATTCTCCTCTCTGTCTCTTATAAGGATACGTGTCTTCGGACTTAAGGCCCAACTCAACCCAGTACGCTCTCATCTCAACATCCTTTGCGTAATTACATTCACAAAGATCTTTTCCAAAACAGGTTACAGTCACAGGTTCCAGGGGACACCTTTTTTGGGGGCTATCCTTCAATCCAGTCTAGGCCTCCCCCTGGTCCAGGAGGGTGGGACAACCACCTCAAACCCCACACACCCTCTGGGGCAAGGCTGTGGCCTGCAATGCCAGTGCTCCTTCCTGGGGCCCGGCGGCGGATGTTGCTGGGAGGGGACTCAGGCTGGGCTTCAGCGATCAATCACCAGGCAGGATAACGACGAGGTAGTGACTAACATTTAATGTCTGACTTCTTTTGTTGGTGCCCTTGTTGGTGCCAGGGGTGTTTTAGAAGCCGCTGGAGAAACCCAGTGCAATCAAACTGAAGGTACTGCTCCCTTAGGGTTTTCACCCCATGAAGGATGGAGACATGTTGAACGAGTAAGTCAGTGAGTGCGTCAGATGAAACATGGAGATGGGGACAGGACGGCCGGGGCGTGGTCCCTGCTGAGTGGATGGTCTAAAGGACTCTGAGAAGGGACATTTGAGGCAAGAATTGTCAGGAGACAGCCAGAGACAGACATAGCTGTTCAGGCAGAGGGAACAATTGTTCTGCATAAGAAGGAGCGTGGTGCCCCCACAACTCTTGCCTGGCACCAGGCATGGTCCTCTCCTCCAGGTCCATGTCTTGCCTGGCCACCTATGAGATCCTCCTCACTCCTCCTCCTCCCTCATCTTTGCTCTTGTGGCCTCTTTTCCTGCATGTTCCTACATCTTCTCCTGCAGAGGCCTTTGGCCTGGATTCTGGATAGCCAGTCATGGTGGTTCTTGGCTGGACAGGGAGAAGGGCACACCTTGGGTTGAAAAGTGGAAGATGGAGCCAAACCCCAAAGACCACATTATGGTCCCCCTTCTATGAAATGCCCAGCACAGGCAAATCACATCAACAGACGCAGCTTAGCAGTTGCCTGGGGCTGGGGGGAGGGGAGAATGGGGAGTGACTGCCTCTGGGTACCAGGTCTCCTTTGGGATGATGAGAATGTCCTGGAACTAGATGCAGATGATGGCTGCACGACCTTGTGAGTGAACAACGCCACTGAACCGTTCGTCAAATGCTTAGTTATATATTATGTGAATTTTACTTAAAAATATGCATACACACAAAAGATGGACAGGAAGGCGGGGGTGAGAGTGCCGCGGTGGTCTGCCCCCCCCCCCCGGGGGCGGGAAGACCTAAAGGGCAGCCGGACACCCAGCCTGGCGGTAGTGCTGCCAGCACTTCATCTGCATCTTGTTACCGTCTCCTCCCTGGCCTTGAGTTACCTCCAAAAACCCTTTTTCTAATATCTGAACTTTAAGAAGCCCGAGAAGGTGGGGAGAGAAGGTCCTTCCACAGACGAATGGGGAGGGTGTGTCAGGGGGGTGGGGGAAACGGCAGTCCCACCGGAGTGAACAGGTGTCTGCGGGAGCCGAGGGCAGGACAAGTGCTCCAGTGGGGGGCCGAGCTCCACAGGAGCCGCCACCCATTCCTGTCTCTTCCCCACCAAGCTGTGAAGGTTCCGCATCCCCCGACTCGAAACCTGTATGAGCGCTTTGGTGCCACCTACCCCTGTGAGTACCTGCTCCTCCAACTCCCTGGCCCAAGTGGAATTCTGGTTGGGTGCCCAAGCCCCAGACTGGGGCTCTCCCGCCCCACCTTGCCCATCTTTCACATCCTCTGTGCCAGTGCCTAAGAAGGCCCCCCAGAGAGGCCCCCTCTAGCACCCGGCTCCCTGGTGGGCCTCCAGCTGTCCTGGGCTCCTGCTTCCCCTTCAGCCAGGCTTCCTGTCCGGGACATCCAGGCTGGGAAGGCACCCAGGTGTCCTTGCCCAGGTGTCCAGTCAGCTGCAGAGGTGGGATAAGGGAGTCCACTCATTCTCCGGGCCTCTCAGCTGGGGCCTGTGAGCCAGGCTGGAGGGAACTGATCTCCCGATTCATATGGCCCCTGGACCAGGCATTTGTGGGCGCTTTTCAGTGTACAAAGCACTCTGCCCCTTATCTCATCCGGGCCTCATCCCAGCTAGGAGTGGTGGCTACTGCCAGCCCATTTGAAAGGCGGGGGGTGGGGGAAGCTGAGGCAGACTGACCCCGGTGGGGGATGCGGGAGCTGGGACTCCTCCGGGTGCTCTGCTCCACTTTGCCATCCGCTCTGTTGTGCATCACCTCGGGTTGCTCCCTCCACCCCCAGGGAGTCTAGGCTGCCCGAGACCAAGGATCGGCACTGAGGTACTTCCATCTTGGGGCCTCTCCTCTCAGTCGGGCCAGCCCCTGCCCAGAATGTTCTTTAGACAAACCACGGTCTCTCCTGCCCCTCCCAGCCCTGCACCCCCGCACCAGCATCCGCTCAGCCGCTTCCAGCCCCCACCCAGTGATGCCAGCTCGGCCTCCGTCTACGCCTCCGCTGCCCCTGCTGCCACCGCTGATGCCGTCCCTGCAGGACCCCTCGCAGGCCCTGGGGTCCACCAGGCACCCAAGGTCTCAGCGCCTCGAATCCCGAGCCAGCACACGGCCCACCTAGGAGCCCGACAGCCCGTGAGCCGTGTGCCCTGCGCCCGCACTGTCCCTTCCATCCCCCAGCAGCCGAGACGGCCGGGGCCTGGCCTGAGGAAGGTGCAGGGCCCTGGACGTAGGGAGGACTCACTGTGACCCGGTGGCTGTCTTCACTGTCTGCCTATAAATATACACAGCGCAGTGCTGCTTACCCCACATGACATGAAGAACACAGCTTTCTGGATTGAATTTGGCACTAAGCTAATTTAATTCCTTGACCAGTTTTCAATACGACACAGTTAAAGTGATTTCATAAACGCTTTCCTTTTTATTCTGCTGAAATGATTTAATCAGTATCAGTTCCGGCTCCGCTTCCGCCACTGTCCATTTTCTTTGGGGGCCATTGAATCTGCCAGGATCAGTTTTCTCATGGGAACCAAATTTTACTGTGTGCACTTTCAAAAATTTTGTGTTGATTATTTCCACCGTTAATGACTGTTCTAAAGTGATTGTTTAAAGAAGCTGACTATTTATATTCACCTCTGGCTAATCCCTGAGGAACTTGGGCAGTGGCCCTGGAACACTGTGGGGCTGCTCCGTCCCACCCAGGGCCGCGGTCCCGCACGCCTGTGGGACCTGTCTGTCCCCGTGCTGACCCCCGTGGGCCTGGTGGGGACAGCGAACTGGGAGGCCGAGACAGTCCTCGCTGGCAGCTGAGTGGCCCTCCTTAGGTCACAGAGCACTGCTCACACACGCCAGCCTGGGTAGCGCGTGCCTGGCCTGGTTTCTTCCCCCTGGATGGCTTGTCTGTCCTGTTCTTCTCCCTCTCAGTTTCCCTCCCTTCCCACTCCCTAGCTTGTCTAGTTGTGCTCTCTGGCCTTTGCATCATTCTGACACTTCTATCACGTTTCACAAAAACTAAAAAAATTTTCCCTCTGTGCAGTATTAGAGCACCCACCGCCACCATCCACTAGAGGCCCCTGGGATGGTGCAGTGAGTTGGAGTGAGCCGTCCAAGGGTCTGCCCTGCGGGAGGATGGGGGGCTCGGGGCCGTGCCCGGGAGCTGGCATGCAGGGTTCCCTAGGTCTGATGGCCCTTGGAGTCCGGGCACACCGTGCACCCACCCCCCTTCCTCACTGTGATCACTGCCGGCCTTGACTTCTCTGTTCTAGAACTCTCCAAGGACTGTGCACAAATGGAAACAAGCCCTCCCTGACTCCGGTCTACGCTGCCCGTGGTGGGCACTGGCACTGCAGCCCCAGCCTCCGACCCCATGCCCATATCACAGATGAGTATTTTTGGCAACTTCTCTCCAGAATAAAATTTTCCATCTTTCACTTTTCTGACTGTGGATGAGGCCTGGTAGCTTCTGTGGGGGGCGGCTTTGCCAGTTTCCCAGAGCCACCCAAAGCCACCGAAGCTGACCCTGAGCAGAGAGTTGCAACCAGCCCTCCCTCCTCTGTCCTACTTCCCACTGTGGCCAAGTGCCCCAAGCTGCCCAGGCCTGTGTGGTGGGCAGTCAGGGGTCTGTGGGCAGGGACACTGGTGTGACTTGCCCAGGGCCCCACAGTGAGGCCTCAGCTCTCCAGCTCCCACCCATGAGGCCGTACTTCTTGGGTGCTGTACACAGGGACGCGGGCCTGGACTTCCATCACCTCCCCAAGGCAGAAGAGGGAAGCATGACCAGGCCCTGGCACTCAGGAAGCTGAGGGTTCCTAGGGAAGCACCCCATGCCAGCCTTGTCCCCTAAAACCCTGACATGAAGGCACCCACAGGCACCTGGCACAACTCTCTCAGCCCCTCAAAGCTGCCTTGCCAGCCATTTCTCAGGTTTACATCAGAACCAGTGCCTCGTTAGGTCCTGCAGCTGAGGGAGTGAAGTGAGGCCCCCGTGTCACCATGTAACCATTTGCATTCTGACGGACCCCTCAGTGCTCTGGAAGGTAGGAAACCACAGTCCCAATTGCAGCCAGCCAGGAGCATTACGGGAAGACAGTCCTGTCCCCCATGCGGGTGGGGCAAGCTGGCCTTTGGCCTGGTCCCAGGTGGCAAGGATTCTGCCTCCTAATCCCGGCCCCAGGGCATGGACCTAAAAGCCTTGAAAGCTGGGAGGGAGGTGTGGTGCCTACTCCCAGGGCAGCTGCCTCAGGAAGGTGGCCCACCCGTGCCAGCAGGGAAAGCACTTGGGGATTGGACAGTGCCAGGGATGGAGTCGGAAGAGTGGCAATGTTGGAAGGATGTAGGTCCAGCCTCCTCCTCTGCAAAGGGGACCATGGTTTGGAACCTGGGACAGAGGTAGAGCCAGGCTGGACAGGGAGTAGGGTGACCAACTGTCTTAGTCTGCCTAGGAGTGAGAGGGGTCCCTAGAACTTTCCATTTTAAGACCGAGATAAATCTGTCATATGAGGGGGAAGTCGTGTGGACTGGCCGGGTATGTGGGGCTGCATGAATGAGCCAGCAGGAAGGGGAGGAGGTGTCTCTTGCCAAACATCGTGTCCTGCCTTGAGGTCCTGCTAGAATGGAGATGCTGGGTGGTAACCACCCTGCACCCCCAAATCCAGCCCCACAACCCACCAATGCAAGTCAAAGGCCACTGAACACGTTCTCCCTTTCAGTGTCTGTGAACCCATTAATCCAATGGTATAAACAGCCAACAGCAGCAAACGTGTGTCCCAAACAAGTGGAGTTGCATTGGAAAAAGGCACCACAAGTACCCAAAAGCAGGCTGTCGGAAGGCAGCAGCTGAGGCACTGGAGGGAGGGCCTTCTGTACACTGAATTCACTACTGGCTTCCCCTGCCACCAACGTCTTGGTTTGATCCCTGACTTTGTATGAGTTTAGGGACTCTACGCAGAGACCCTCCAAAATCCCACACTGATAGCCAGAGAAAAGGGTCTCCTCTCTCCTTCCTCCTCTTGCTCATGGCTTCACCAGGATCTGTAGAGAGTACCTCCGCCAGAACTCCCTAGATGAGAAATGGCCCCAGGAAGCAGAGATGGACTCTGCCCACAGGCTCCCAGCACCTTGTGCTGTGCCACTGACAAGGCCCCAGCCACACCGGAAGCGGGCCCTCCCCGACCCTCCCCAGGAGGACCCGGCATCCCCACCCCTAAAAGAGGGGTGTTCTTTTAAGACTCATTTGAAATACATATATTGCCCAATCATAAGCCGTGCCCAGACAACCAGACCTTTCCAAATGCAGGAATTGGAAATAGCTTTGCCTCAAAATATCTCATTTTGGCTAACCCAGGTGGCCTCCCCGCCAACACAGGGAAGCAACCAGAGAGTCAAAGCCGGTCTGTCCTCAGATGAGTCCTGCTATGAAAAGCCCCTCAGAGACCTCCAGGGCCACAGGGGCCCCACCCACCGGGTTTGGGAGCCAGCCTCAGGAACAGGGTGGCTTTCTTCAGCGGCACATATGTTTTCAGAGAACCCCAGGAAGACTCTGGGGACCTTCAGCAGCCTCGGAGCATCCCTGTCACCCAGGGAATATTGCAGGGGAACCGGCCCTTCTCTCTTTAAAGCTGTGTGGAGGAGCCCTGCCTGCCCACAGAAGGCATTTCCGAGTCGTCGTCCGTCTGCCAGGTGCTGCTTCACCCCACCGAGCAGGGCACCTACTTCAAATCCTCCTGGGGAAACGAGATCCCCTTCAGATTCCAGCCAATTCCAAGATGAGAGACACACGCACACACATGCTGGTGGCCACTGGAGTCGGCTGGTGGGCCAAGGGCAAGCTCTGTCATTACCGCAATGGTCGACTTCAGCCAGCTGTGGCCTTTATGGGAACTTCAGCAATATTACAAACTCCCAGGATAAACCAGAAGTGAGGCTTTTCATGTAAACTCTCCTAATTTGAAAATGTTGGCAGACAAAAACAAAACCAAACCAAACACCAAACCACCATGACAGGCAAACAGCACACGTCAGGGGACTGTGAGTTTGCAACCCCCTGAGATAACCCTGTCCCATCTTCTAAGGGCAGACCAGAAGGCGCTGGACCTCTTGTCACCCTTAGAGGCCAGGTCTTCACTCCCAGGCACTGTCACACACCCTCTTGAGAAATCAGACACACACAGATCAAATCACATCCTTTTAAGCAAATTCATGGGTGCAAATGGTGTTTTTTAGAGTGGAATTTTGGAAACAGTCATTTGGAGCTCAAGTCTGGTGATTGTGTAGATGTCCAAAGCCCAGAAGTGGCTAGACTTTGAGGTAACAAGGCCGGTTTCCCCAGGAGGTGCCCCGGGGACATCTGAGATTCAGCTAAACGTGGCTGTAAATATTTTCCATTTGTACACCAGAACCTATGCTTTTTAGCCAGTTTATACTGGAATACGTAGTGGATGGTTATGGATGCCTTCAGTTTTGCTCCTGAGGTTCCAGGTTTGGGGAAGTTAAGGGAGGTTCCAGCTTCTCCGTATCACACTCGAATTTTGAGGGCATGTGGCAGCTATTGTAGGCCTGCCTCTGGCTTCCCCTTGAGTTTGTCTGGCTCGCTTCTGTGGCCACTCCCTTGTTTGAGATGCTGACAGGGGGCCCCAGGCACACCTAGCAGGTCTCTGCACTGCTGGTAAGTACCTGAGGACCCAGATCCAGCTCCAGCCCTACCCTCTGCTTCCTCCTCCCCTGGGTCCCAATTTGCCTGGGGCTCTTACTAAAACTCAGATCGCTGGGCCCTCCTCCAGAACTGTTGCCTTAAGTACCCAGGGAACTCTTATGCTTTGTAAGTTTGCACTGGGTTGGAAGCACTTGGGAGCTATTTTACCTTTCATAATAGCTTTGACATAATGAAAACACTACAAAGTCCACCCTTTTGAAGTGTGCAATTGAATGGTTTTTAGTTTGTTTACAAGTCAATCAGTAATATCCTGGGAGTGTTTAAAATGATAGTCAGGGCCTCCCCTGAGATTCTGACATGGAGGGACCAGGAGCCTGGCCTGTTTGTCTTTTCACAGAACCCCCAAGGGACAGTTTGCTATGTCCATAGACATTTTTGGTTGTCACAGCATGAGGGTGCTACTGGCACCTAGTGGGTAGGGGCTGGGATGCTGGCCAAACATCTACAGTGCACAGGATACGCCCATGGTGGACAATGACCCAGCACCCATGTCCACAGGGCCCAGGTTGGGAAAATGGCATCTACAGGAACCTCAAGTCCCTTCCAGTCTAATGTGATCCACTGGGACCTCCAAGCCCAGCCTATACGGCCTCCAAAAACAGAAAGGGGCCTCACCTCCAACAGACTAGCACTGTAGAGATACTTCTCAAACTGGGACCCAAGGTCTAGCAACCCCCAGGAGATGCTGTTGGTCAGAGGACCCCATTTTGAACAGTGAGAGTGGGCTTCTGTACAGACCTGCAGGGGCCTGCCCGGGGGGCAAGCCCCATGGTCTCCAAGACTGCAAATTCCATAGTTCACTGTCTCCTATGGTTCCAAAATACACAGCCACCCCAGTAACCAGCTCTCTGGGAAAGCCCAGGCATGCTCACCTCACACAGCTGATAACCCAGAAATGCTTGGCTCTGCAAAGCATTTTCCTGCCACTTGAAGAGGGGCTGTCATCAGTTTCCCTTGAATCTTTTTCCATCCAAAAGAATGGAGAAGCTGCACCCCAGTGCACCCCGGGCAGACCTGTGTCCTCTCCGGACTCCAAGAGGCTGTTGGAAAATAGGTCTCATGGTGAGGACAAACTTCGGGGAGGCAAGCAACAGCTCAAGTGGGGGCTCAGTGTTTGGTCTCCAGTGACAACCAGAGTAAACAATCACCCCAGGTGGGCTTCATCAGGGGCCTGTCCAGATTCCAGCAGGGCAGAGGCATCCTTGTCAGAAAGCTCAGCCCCATACCTGGGAGCAAGAGAGGACTGTTGGTGGTGGTGAGTGCCAGGCAGACCTTCCGAAATAGAAGAAACTCTCCAACCCAGGCACAATCCACACAAGGCGGAGATGCTAACCAAGTTCTTCTCGATTAGGGAAGAGGTCTGCTGGTGAGGAACTGCAGAGGCCACAAGGACCCTCTCCCTCAGTGTGCGCAGCCCAAGGCGGAGTGGGGCATCTGGCTTCTTCCTTGGGGCTAGATTGGATACCTGCCCCAGCCCAGCTTGGAAGCAGCCTGGATCCACTGTCTACTGCCCCTGGGTGGCCTGTCTCCTTAGTGACTAATGGTTTGAGCAATGATTGGACTCTGCCCCAGGCTGGTGTATCCCTGTCAAGCTTGCAGACTATAGGCACTGTGGCCTGTGCCTCCCCAGGGGAGGGCCCTGCCCTACCCAGCACATTTGCTGGAGGTTGGGCTTGAGGGTCCAGCCCGCAGCCAATTACTGGGGCCCTGAGACAGGAAGAAAGGTCCTTATGTGAAACTCAGACAGACCGGAAGGCAGTTGTCAGCTCTGAAAGTCAGGATCCCTCTTGCCAGGAAGGGGGAAGGGTGGGCAGACAGAGGCTGGGATTCTGGAACACAGGCCAGAAACTAACTTCATGGGAAAAACCTTTGGTAGGCAGGAAGATTCCACAGCATGTTGTGGTTGAAAAGACAGCAACACGCAGGAGTAGTGTGAAGCCAGGCAGGACTGGAGGGTAGCCCTCTGTTCTGGGCTGTCTGTGCCCTCCCCCCACCCTCCACACACACAGGGCCAGCTGGCAGCAAAGCTGAGGATACAAGACCACAGAGCCTGGTGGTGGTTTGGAACTCATTCTTCTCCTTTGTTAAAAGGGGGAAAGGAAATGGGTATGGGGTACCCCTGGGCTCTGGGGGAGGCATGCACGCAGTTCCAGCAGGCAGACGCCGGGGGATGGGTGGGAAGTCCTGGAGTTTCCCACAATCCTTTTCTCTGCAAGGAACAGCAAAGCTGGCTGCTGAGGGGGTGGGGAGAGGAGGGGGACCCTGGGGAGGGGGACGATGGGCAAGGAGCTCAGGGGCTCACTCTAACATGCAAAGTCCAACTGCCCCATAAACTAGGTTGCTTCTTCAATAGTGACATACGTATAAATACAGACACAGCCACACGCACACATGCGGAGAAGGCTCTGCATTCACGAGGGTGGGGATCTAGGTCTGCTGGCCCCAAGGAACTCCAAGCAGGAGCCAGGCAAGTCTCCGCGGACTCCTGAGGTGGGGTGAGTCCTCTGGGGAAGGCTGCTTGGTCTCTGAAGTTCTGTCCACGAGCACCCAGATGACTCTGAACCAAATCCATGCAAGCTGGGTGCCGTGAGCCTGCACTTCGTGCACTGGAGGGCAGCCTGTGTGCTGGCACAGGGGTCCAGTCTCTCCCCTCCAGGGCTCCAGGGAAAGGGGGTGCAGACAGAGGAGGGTAAAAGGGGGCCCGTGGAGATGTCTTCTCCCCCGCCCCACGGGGTCCAGGCCTCCGGGAGGGGGGAGGGGCCTCCCTTATCTCTCAGCCTCCATGGCAGGGTGAGCCCTTGGTTCTGAGGTGGCCTGTTGGGGGGCCAGGGGTGGCCAGTCTGACGCTGGGGAAGGGGGTGCCGGAGTCCACAGGGGTGGCTGCTGAGGCTGGTGGTGCTGTGGCCCCCCTGGGGGTGAAGCCACCATTGGCCAGCTGGGTGCTGCAAAGCTGCTGTTGGCAGCATGGGGCAAGTGCGGCGGGGGTGACGTGGCCGAGGAGGCCATTGGGCTGCCGCTGCCGCCACTGTGGAAGCTCTCGGAGGCCTTGAGACGGGAGAACATGGTGAGGGCATCAGGGAAGTTTGGGGGCGTTGCAGGGGTGTTGGCGGGAGTGCACATCTGTGGGAAGGAGAGCAGAGAAGCAGGGGTAAGCACCCTTTCTGGAAGGCCCCCAATCTACCACTGGCTCCTAGCTGGAGACACACGCCCAGCCTCTGTTGGGAGACTTTGTGCCCCCCACTTGGATGCACCTGACCCCCCCCCCCCCCCGCCACAGTCCACCAGCCAGGGGCTCACAGAGGAAAGGCAGGATCTTGAGTTGGGTTGTCCCACAAACCTGCTGGTGGCTCATCCCAGTGGCAGAGGTTCTGGGAACAAAGGCAGAGATCCACAGCAGTTTGAACAAGGAGACCCCTGCGTATCTGCCTCTCAGGCCGCAGGGGACACTTACCATCTGGTGGTGATGGTGACTGTAGGGGATGTTGGTCTCCTGGAAAAAGGCGCTGAGGGCCGTCTGTGGGAAGAAAAGCCCACGCTTACCCTCAGTACCCTGCCCAACCCTGCTGCTCCCCTTCTCTCCAGGCTCTCTGGGACTTGGTGCGGCCCTGGGCCTGGCTACCGAGTAGGAGACATGAGTTGAGTGCCTGTCACCATTGGACTCCCACCACTTCCTGAGACACCCCCCCAGCAGAAATGATGGAGACCCTCCTGACACTGTCTGCCACCTGGACACCAGGTGCCTCCACTTTGCACATAGCACTTAGGCTATGGGCAAGCAGGACCGTCACCTGTCTCCCGAGGAAGGCCTCCCAGAGACCTCAGCCCAACTATCACGAACTCCGTGGGTGGTAAGTCCCTACTCCTCTCTGAGCCTGTTTCCTTATCTCTGAGCCAGGGGTTGGTGAAGGCCCCCAGATGAAGAGTCTGTGACCCACTTGTCCCTCTCCTTGGGTAACTAAGGCATCCCGCGCTGGGCCTGTTTCTACATCTGCACCACAAGGGGGCTCAACTAGGTGGCTTTCAGGTTCCCCTCCCTTGCAACAGGGACCCCCAGAGAGCTAGCCAGGTTCCAGCTGGGAGAGCCAGAAGTAGGATGGTTGGGGTTTGCACTCCCTGCCCAGCTCATGTGAGCCTCCAGCAGAATGTTCTCAAGGTGACAGAGCAGGAGGATGGCAGAGGTGGGGTTTATACCCAGGACTGTGAGGAAAGGGGGAGGAGAGGGGATCTGGGTAAGACCAGCCATCTAGAGGCCCTGGGGGACTGCAGTGAAGGTGCTGAGGGCTCCCGTACGGCCTTTGGCTCCCCCCAGGAAGGCGCCTGGCATTTGGTGTGCTCTGGGGCTCAGCCCCTGCAGGAGGGCGTCTAAGAAAATAAGGGAACCAGCTGCTCTTGCGAAAGTGCTGGGGGAGGGAATCAAGTGTGTGAAGGGTCCGCCAGGCTCTGCCAAGTCCCAGACCCAGCTCTGAGCAGCCCCTGCTACTCTGCCCACCATCACCACCCCCTCTGACTGGCTCCCCAGAGCCCTGTGCTGCCCATCTCTTCCCCTGCCTCCAATATATCCAGAAACCCAGCATGGATCCCAGGGCTTCCCTGGCGGTTTTGTAATTTTCTTAAAGTAAAATCAAGTGAATTATTCTGGGCATTTCCTGCTGAAACTCCCTACCTATGTCTCCAAACAAGGGTGTGGAAGTTAAGGGAAGAGGGGCACTGGTTTCTAACCATCACTTCCTGACCTCCAGCCCCACCTCTGGAACCCCAGGGACACACCCGACCATTCTTCTCCCAAAAGTAGCTCCAAAGGCCACTGTATAAGGATTCCAGGAAGAAACATCTGTCCCACCCCTTAAAGCAGAAGTTTCCCTTCCCCCTGCAGCCTCTGTCCCCATTAACACCTGAATCACAGAGACTATGACCCAAAAAGACAGCCTCCAGCAGGCTGGGTCAGCCCTTCTGCCCGTAGGCTGCCAGCTGAAGCTGGGAAGGCAGAAGGGGGTCAGCCATGAGAAACCTCTCACTCACTCCCACAATGAGACCTAAGGTTTGGGGGCTCATGACCCATTTTCACCTTAAGTGAACCTTCCTAGTACCCATATTCCTGTTTTATAGGCACTGAAACAGACTCATAGATCCCTGGGCACAGGGGTCCTACCACTGGGGGTCATTACAGCCCCCTGTCTGTCAACTGCCCTTGCCCCCTGCTGGGATCAGAATCTTTCTTCAGACATTTCCATCCTCAGAACTATATTTTCAATTCCTGTGATCAATCAACACCAATCTGTACTGCCTGAGTGACCATCAAGCTGGTGCCAGGCTCTGTGGGCTGAGCTAAAGAGTGCCTGCCCCCTGGACACCTGCCTGCCCAGCCCCATGCAGGAAAGGAGCCATGTATGCTGATGTGGGACTCAAGCAAACTGCCATGAATGTGGTTTTGCAAGTTTTGCCACATCCAGCCCCAGACACAAACGGGCTGATTAGGGAGCTAGCTTCCTGGAGGGTGGGGCTGCCAGCCTGGGAACGGGGAGGCAGGCATTCACCCCTTAGAGGTCAACTCATACCCGCAAGGTACAGAGGAAAAAAAGTGAGATCAGAAAGAAGAGACCTGCCTAGAAAAAGAGCATCTCCTGGTGTGACGGCCACACAGAGTCATCAGATCTCTGGTAGGAAGGAGGTGTGCAAAGATCCTTTGTGTGGATAGGCCACTGGGTTCCCAGACTGTCCCAAACTCAGGGTGAGAATTCCAATCTCTTCCAGCCCTCAGGAAGTTCCCCTGGCTCCTGGTCCCTCCCTCAAGCCCAAACACCTTCCCTGGGCGGACTCCCCACAAGAAACCAGGTTTTTGGGCCCTGCTGGGCATAGACACTACAACTGGACTGGGGCTGGTTCCTTACATCTGTGAGGAATGGAGTTCAAGGGGCTCTGGCCTCATCCCTAGATACCATCCTGGATTATTTCTGGGGCTGCTGAGCCAGGTAAGGTGGCCTCTTGGAAGCACAAGCCGTGGGCCCTAGTGCTCTACGGGTCAGAGGCCTGGGGAATGAGGGCCAGACTGGGGTAGTCCCACCCCCTGCCCAGCTGACTGAAAGCCAGTGAACCGCACACCACGCGTGAATGGTGCAGGTAGATGTCCTTGCCAGCACAGAGAAGGGCCCCGGAACAGCACTGTACATTTGAATATACACGCACGGACACTACCTGTAACACGGAGACGTGTATGTGCAAAGAGCACATACTCCGCACCCGCGCCCCGGGTAGACTGCGTGTTTACACACGCCAACATGCCCACACGCAGCGTGGCGCGTGCGTAAATACAAGTGCACATGTACGTTGGCACACGCGCCTCCGAGCTGCCCACCAGGCACGCAGACCCACACGCAGAGCTACTCTGCCCGTGGGCTCCAGGGCTCTCCTGGAGGGGAGGGAAGATGGAAGGGGGACAGCGCGTGTCCAGCTTGGCCCAAGCCGGGGCGTCCTCCTTCCGGCCGCCCGCCCCACTGCCTGTCCTGGCCCCAGCACCGCCCCGCCCTGGCCTGCCCTTACCCGGAACAATAGTGGGGGCCCCCGCATCCCAACCGCCAGGGCACTTGGGGTCTGAGATTCCAGGCCCCAGCGGGAGCAGGCCGCTCCTTACACTCACCCAGCGCGGAATTGCGTCTCCTGGGGCCTCGTAGACGCGGCCGCGCCGCGGGACCCGACTGTACGCCTTCCAGTGTGCGCGCTGGGGCCCGAACCCTGGCGCGCGACCAGCGGAGCGCGCACCCGCATGTCCCCACCGCACACGCTCCGCGGCACGCGCCTCCACGCGGGACGGCCACCCCACCCCCCCGACCGAGCCGGTTCGCGCACCTCAAACTGCCAGTGGGCCGCCTGTAGCAGCTGCTTCGCCTGGTCGGCCGCGCAGCCGGCCGTCAGGACGAACTGGTTGATCATGACCTGGTGCTTAAGCTCGTCCATGTTCACGGACATGGCGCCACCGCCGCTGCGATGCCCGCTCCGGCCTCCCGCCGCCGCGCGCTTCTCTTCTCACGCGTCCACCATTAGCGAGCCGGCTCCGGCTAATACAAATATTTACTGTGCGGCTCTGACTCACCGAGCCTCGCCTCGCTCCGAGGCCGCGGGAGGCATGCTGGGAGATGTAGTCCACAACGCGCCCGCCCGCGCTCTATGGGGGCCGCAAGCTTAGCACCTACTGTGTGCAGAGGAGGGCCTTGACTAGAACCGACCCGCTCCTGTCCTGACACTAACAGGGGTCGAGGAGCGGAGGCCACAGGGGTCTTTGTCAAGACTCTGGTTCCTGAGCCCGTGGTTGACAGTTCTCTGTGAGAGGGTGCAGTCTTAGGTGAGGGGAGCATTATAGCAATTGTGGTACAGATCTGCAGCACTGGGCCGCAAGGCCTCGAAGGGTTGGGCACACAGTAGGTGCCTATATTCGTTCAGTGAATATATCTATTCTTTAGGACTCGGCTCAAAATCACCACCTCAAGGAAGCCTTCCGAGTCTCTCCAACTCCCTCCCCCCTCCCCCGTGCATCCCGCACGTGTGAAGGGGGTCCCTCCCTGGCCTGGCGCTCGACCAGGTACACTGTAGGCCCAAGGAACTTATGGGATTTGGTAGGGATGGCGTCTGGGAGAGGCAAGTGAGGCCGACAGTCTTTGCTGCCTCGAGCTTCCTTCCCTGTGGCCCTTCCATGTTCCCACGCAAAATCTGTTGTGCTTTGCTGGAAAGCTGGCCTTAAACGTACGAACTTCAGGACCGTGCGGAGCCAGTTCCGGGGAGACCCAGAACTCGTATTCCCAGAATGCCCCAGTATATTTGCAACTTTTGGTTCCATGTGACGTCTAGTGACTGAGGCCGCATCTCGGCCAATGAGCGGCCGCAGGGTGTTAGGACCTGGCCATATAAGGTAAACAAAGCTGGCCGCCAATGAGACTTTGTCGGGGGCGGGCGCTGAATCGGTGCTGACGGTAGTGTGTTACGTGATAGGCGGAGGCGGGACTGGAGAACACTGGGGTGGGGCGTTGCGAGCTGTGTTTACAGACTCTCACGCGCCGCTTCCGGTTGATCTCGCGGGTCTGGGTCTTGGAGTTAGGGGGCTGACAGGAGGGAGGTCTTGGAACTGGGGCCGGGGCAGGGAGTTGAGGAGAAGCCCCAGGCAGAAGGGTGGCTCGGTCACCACTGCTCTGAATGATCTTGACCCGATTGCTCACGCTTCCTGGGCCCGGGTTTCATTTGTTGAGCAACTGTTGAGTCCTGACTGTACCGGGTTCTGACGTAGCCCGGGTACAGCGAAGAGATGAAACCCAAGAGGGGTGGGCGTGTGTCAAAAATCCCAGGGGCAGATGAAGAATTCCAAGTGTGAAAGTGCCCTTAGGAAGGAGATACAAGCCCTGGGGTTGCTGGGTTAAAGCCCATTGAGGGGTTTAATAGATCTGATCTGTTGTCCACATTAGACTCACTGGCTGTGGCAGTGTGGGGACCAGATGGTGGCAGAGGGATGCAGTCAGTTTAGGCGATGTTTTGAGTGTGGTTAGAGAAGTCCGCCCCTGCCAAGGGCCTTAACTGCAGAATTGGATTGGAAGTAGGGGGACTGTCTCATACTGGGCGGGGAGCAGTAGGGACCTGCAGCACTCTCTAGGGAGCTTTCCCTGGGTCTCTCACCTCCTAGGCGTTTAGAGTTTGGCTGATGGGAGGAGAATGGGGGACGTGTGGACAGGGCCTGAAACGTCCCAGGGTTGTAAGGGGTGGGGGAAGCTGGGGCACAGGTATAGGTTGGGGAGGGAATGGAGCCCTGCTAGAGTGTGGAGCTGGGAGCTTGGCCCATTGGCAGAAAGAGGATTCAGTGTTTTCTTTCAGTGGGCGCTTCAGCCCTGGCTGAAGTCACCCTGTCTACTTGGAAAATAAAGTTTCGGCCTCTTTTCTGCCTTGTGAGGGATCATTGTTTCCACTATTTTTTTTTTTTTTTGCAAACCCTGGTGATACCAGGAGATCCGCTCTTATTTAAGAATGCCCTTCACCTTTGCAAAGCATCATAAGCACAAATTAATGTGGGTAAAGTGCTCCACACAGGGTAGGCAGTTCTGAATAATGGCTACTGTTGCCACTGGGATAACAACAGGGCAGGATGGGAGGTAAGTAGGTTCTGGAGCCAGATGGACCTAGATGCCAGTCTTGACTCTGCCACTTAATGACTCTGATATTGGGTAAGTTACTCTGGCTCTGAGCTTCAGTTTCCTCATTTGTAGAACGCAAGGTGAGAGCCAAGAGCTCTCTCAGGACTGCTATGGAGGATTAATGCCAGTGAGATGCTCAGCATAGGCCTGGTGTCCAGTGAACTATTTCTAGCACTCATCTCTTTGCCTCTGTCTAGTGAGCCCAAACACTCTTTTACAGCTAATGAAACTAAGGCTGGAATCCTGGCCTTCTTACACTTTTGCCAGTGGAGAAGAGCAGGCACCCAGTGAGCCAGCAGGGTGTGTTTCTGGCGAAGGTGGTATGGTGGTGGTGGACGCTTTCAGGGCCCACTGGAGGCTTTCCTTGCTGAGGGAGGCAGGAAATGTCCTCCCCCACTCTTATCCAGGCACCACTCAGTTACCTGTTCAGGCTTGTCCAGCCCAGAACAGGGTGGGGGCAGGTGGGGCTGGCAGGAGCAAAGGTCACCACTCTGGTCTCACAACCCCCCAGCACCCCGGCTGGCTTGTTTTCCCAGGAGCAGCAGGAAAGTAAAAAACCTTGTTTTTCAGCCAGGATCGGCCGGGCCAGAAAGTGGACTTTGGATTCCTTAGCAGGCTCAGATGGGGCCAGCCCGCTGAAGCCAGCCAGTAGATGGGGGATGGGGGAATAAAAGGCATTTCAGGAAGTGCCCTCATCTTTTCTGAGGTCTAGGAAGGTAAGGGCTTTGCCAAAATTGACATAGCCAATTCATAGAGGCTTAGGACCTTTGCCTTCTCAGCATTCCCTGGCCACCTCCCCACCTCCATCCTTTCAATCACTCCACAGTTGTGTTTATCAGACCACACTGGGTGACTGGCTCTGAGAGCACAAGAATGAATAGGTGAGGACCCTCTTAAGAGGTTTAAGAAGTATAGACTTGAGGGACTTGCCCCAGGAGGCCATGAAGTGTGCCTAGAGTCTTTTTTTTTTTATGTTTCAAATGACCCAATGCTGGCTGCCTGAGGGGGCCTTGAGGTCTGGCCACTGCTTCGCTTCTTCCTGATCTCTGTTCTCATACTCTTCCATTTACTTGGTTCTAACCACACTGGCCTTTGAGCTCCTGGGTCATAGTCAGATCATCGCTGCCTCAGACTTTTTGCATATGCTGTTCCCCTTCCCTGGAACCTGGCCTACTTGCTCAGAGTTTGCCTCCTGGCTTAAATGTCACCTCCTCAGAGATGCCTTCCCTGAATTCCCTTTCAATAGTAAGTCTCTCCTATTATTTCATCTTAATCCAGTGCCCCATAGCACCCACCACACTTTACATTTATACATTTCACCTTTTTGTTTCCTCACTAATCTGCAGGCTCCATAAAACTAGGTAAAAACACATCCCCGTGTTTTCTGCCGAGTTTTGTGTAAATCAAAAGCTAGCAAAGTTTGTTACAACTTGCGAGGCTTTAATCCCGACCTTCTTTGTGGATCTCCCTTCTTTGTGCCTCAGTTTCCCTATCTGTAAAATGGGGAGAGGTCTACTGCCTCCTTGAAGGGGGCTGTAAAATTATGTCTTCAAAGTGATTGTTTTGGAGGTGGCACCAGAGAGATGCCTTGAAAAGGCTAAAACGAGTGTTTTGCTTCCTCTTTGAGCACCTCTCCAGGTAAGCTTGAGTTCCACCCCAGCTCTTGTCCGGTGATAGGTAAGTATGCCCTCTGCTGGCCGGGGCAGGAGCTAAACCCTGGGAAGTGGGGAGAACCATGTGGCTCAGGGAGATATTTCCGAGAGTAGTAAATGGAAGGGGGTAAACAGACGGGTCTATATATATGATCAGATTATTAGAGGTTAAAGGGTTATAATTTAGTTCTGTGCTTGGAATGCAGACGGCAGGACAATTTGCGTTGTGATCGATGGTTCCGCCTCTTGGATTTCAGTTCACTTGGTATGTCCCAGAGCGCAGATCAACAACTTCAGCAGACCTGGGCGAGGAGCGTCCTGGGAAATGTAGTTAGTAGGCGAGCTTTCCGCGCCGTAGCCTGGTGCCCTCAGAAGAAAGGGGACTCCATTTCCCGAGGTCCCCAGGATACTGGGGGGTGCGGAGGGCCTCCGTGGCGTCGGGCACCGGACGAGCCGGGGGTGGGGGCACCGAAGCTGAGGCTTCTCGGCCTTGGGGGAGCATCCGTGCGGCCTGATCCAGGCCATGTCTATGTGAAGACCCGCTGCAGCTGTCCCCGACCCACCTCGGTCCTGGTCTGACCTACCCAGCCGCACACCATGGGCTCCATCCTGAGCCGCCGCATCGCGGGCGTGGAGGACATCGACATTCAGGCAAACTCGGCCTATCGCTACCCTCCGAAGTCCGGTGAGCGGATGGCGAGGCGCGGACTCGGCGGTAGGCGGGGCGGGGAAGGCGCGCCCACGCAGGGCCTTCTGCGCTGGGGCGGGGTGGGGGCTCTTCTGGGTCCCCAGCCCTTCCTGCTGTCTTGCCAGCCCGCAGCTTCGCGCCCCCTCGACCCGGATCCCGGGGTTCGTGGGGAGCCCCGGGCTGACCGCCTCGTCCAGACTGGGTGACCTTGGGTCAGTCACTTCACCCCTGAGTGCTTCGGGTCCCTGTCTGCGCATTGGGGAGACCCTTGGGAAATTCCTAGGGCCGTAGGGCAGGGATGAGGTTCCGGGCGCGACGCTTGCGAGGGCCTAGTGTGGTGCCCGGAGCTTCGCTTATCCTTACAAAGTGGTCATTGTCATAAAGACTGACTTCACACCATCGTCGGTTTTGGCTTTCTTTGGTGGCTGGATCTCCAGAAACTCTCCATCTCATATGGACAGAAGCTTAGTTAGCTCTCTTGTGACCTCCTGGCGCTTGTGCATGGTGGAGGGAGTGGGATTGGGCCCTACGAGATGATAACACTCCTTGGGGAAGAGGCTGGGAATCTTACTGGAGAACAGGAGACAGGTTGGAGGGGACCTCTGGATTCTCTGATCCCTGGATTTTTGTTTGTGAGACTTGAGCCACCGGGGAGGAAGTGACTTTCCCAAGGTCTCGGAGCTGGAGGGAAGCACTTCAGGGACCAAGAGACCAACTCCCGGATGAGTTGTTCCTTCACTGTTCTGTTGTGTTTAATGAGTGTGGCCTGACCCAGGATTTTAGCTCCAGTTCCTCACCTGGTCCATCTCTTTATCTGGTTATTTGCCAAGGCAAGGAGAGAAGAAAGAGGACGGGGAGTTTGGACATCATGGAGACTTTCCTACCGGGTCCTCTGAAGCATTTGATCTGATGTGTCTTCTAGACCTCAGTTTGCCAGTGGGCATCCACCAGGCAGGTTTCCTCTGAGTGTGGTTCAGGACCACCTGCTTCCACCAGTGGGGAAGCTTGTGAAACATGCAGTTCCCAGGCCCTTCCTCAGACCCGCTGGGGGCTTAGGAACCTGCATTTAAGTTCCATTCCCCAAGTGAGTCTGATGTTCACTCAAGTTCAAGAACTGCTCTGTCCTGACTTTGGAAGGTGAAAGAAATGGAGTGTCTGGGGCTACTGGAAGTAAAGGGGGGTGGGGATGGATTTAGGTCAGCCAAACCAGATGCAGTTAGAACTCAGCAGAAGGTACTGTTGCCTACTAGTCAGAGAGGCATGCCTGCTTGTGTCTTAGACACAAGGGGAGGGCAGCGCAGGGCCTCCCAGCCTGTTACAGGGATACTCTAGAGGCTCTGTGGGCTGACTTCTCCAGATCTGATGGAGCAATTGTTTGAAGTCATTTTTTCCCATTGCTGATGTTCTTTCCGCCTGTCTTTAGCTGAGTGACCTTGGGCAAGTTGCTTAGCCCCCCGGGGTCAGTTTTCTGTTCCGTAAAAGGGGCTAATCCTTCTACAGTAATCAGAACAGTGCCTGGGACCTAAGAGGTCCTGGAAAAGTATTTGGCTCTATAAGGGAATCAGGTGACCATTTCAGCCCCTAGTAGCACTTAGCAGTGGTATGGCGGAGATATCAAAGTGTTTAATGTGGCACCTTGTATCATCTGGGACCAGAGCAAACTGGATGTCCCTTCACTTGCGCCTTTGGACAAAACAAATACAAAGCATTTACAGCTCCATTTTTGGGTTCTGGGCCGCAGACCTTGCTAATCAGTTGGGACTTTGTTTCCGTCTGAGCTTGGACTTGGTTTCAGAATCCACCAATGAGCACCCCAGTCAGCCATGACTAGTAGTTTGGGGCTGCACCCAGGTGAATGCCATGGGCCACCTTGGTTTTGCTGCCAGTGACAGCAGTATTTTGGGGCTGTCCAGTCCAAAGGCTCTCCTTTTTGGTTTCTCGTCCCTTGCTTAGGGAGGGTCAGTCAGAGGCAGGTGGGACCTTAGCAGTACAGGGGGATTTGATATGATTTTAGTGGGTGTCTCTATTGGACCTTCCAATTGTTTTTATGAGAAAGTTACTATCTTTTCAGGTCTCTGCCGATTTAGTTGATTATATCGAGGAGAAAGAATCCTTGAATGCTAATATTTTTTATTTTTATCCTGTTGTTTTTTTTTTTTTAGATTTCACTTATTTATTTCCCGGGGAAGAGAGGGAGAAAGAGGAGAGAAATATCCACTGGTTGCCTCATAAACACCCCCAACTGCGGACCTAGCCCACAACCTAAACATGTGCCCTGACTGGGAATTGAACTGCCAACCTTTCAGTTTGTAGAACTCTGCCCAATCTGCTGAGCCACACCAGTCAGGGGTTATTTTATTTTAAATTGATTTTTAGAGAGAGAGAGGGAGATCAATTTGTTGTTCCACTTATTTATGTGATCATTTATGCGATTCTTATATGTGCCTGACCAGGGATTGAACCCACAACCTTGGCATATCAAGATGTGGCTCTAACCAACTGAGCTACCTACCAGGGCAGATGTTAATATTTTTAAGCACCTCTAACACTGTCCAGTTTTTTACCCAGCTTTATTTATTAATTAAAGATTTTATTTATTTACTTCTAGAGAGATGAAATGGAGGGAGAAAGAGAGGGAGAGAAACATCAATGCGTGAGAGATACATTGATTGGTTGCCTCTCACAGGCCCCCAACCCAGTCTCGTGCCCTGACCAGGAACTGAACTGGTGCCCTTTCCCTGGTGGTGCTCAGTCCATTGAGCCACACCAGCCAGGGCCTCCCAAGCTTTAAGATACGATCAGCATATAACATTGTGCCGCTTTAAGGTATGTGGTGTGATGCTTTGCAATATGTGTGTATTGGGAAGTGATTACCACAAGTTAACACCATCACCTCAGTCACTTTGTGTGTGTGTGGTGAGAACTTTTAAGATCTCCTGCCTAATCTTTTTTTCTGGGACTGTCAAAGTACACTCCAACAGTACTTCGCTTGAATTTGGTAATATTTACTTGTTTTCACGATATTTATCTTGCTTTTAACAACTTTATTGAGGTATAATTAGAACTCATCTGCTGTGAACATACGATTAGGTGACTTTAAGTGAATTTATGGAACTGCAATTCCATAAATCACAGTCGGGTTTAGACATTTACATCGTCCCCTGAAGTTTCCTCGTGCCTCTGCGGTCAGTCCCTACTCCCACCCTGTCACTGGTCTGCTTTCTGTCTTTAAAATTTGCCCTTTTTGGACATTAGACATGAAGGGAATCATACAACATGTAGTCTTTTTGTGTCTGGCTTCATCCATGTTGTAGCATGCGTGTACTTTATTATAGAGATACAGTATATTTTATCTACTCACCGGTTCATGAACTTCTGGGTTGTTTCTCTTTGGCTATTAATGAATAATGCAGCCGTGAACGTTTGTGAACAGTCGGGTGGCCCTGTTCATTTCTCTTGGGCGGATACCTAGGAGTGGAACTGCTGGGTCAGAGGGTAACTCGATGTTTAACCTTCTGAGGAACTGGCAGAGTTTTCCATAGTATCTGCTCCATTTTACAGTTATTCCCACCAGCCTTGCGTGAGGGTTCCAACTTCTCCGTGTCCTTGTCAGCACCTGTTACTGTCTTTTTAGTTATACCCATCCTAGTGGGTGTGCTGTGATATCTTATTGTGGTTTTGATTTGCATTTCCCTGATGGCTGATGTTGGGCATATTTCCATGGGCTTAATGGCCATTTGTATAGCCTACGTGTGTGCGCGCGTGAAATGTGTTAGTTTTTTTCCTTCAGTTTTTAAAAATTGGATTGTCTTACTGAGTTGCGAGAGTTTTTTATTCTAGATATGATGGTGCATTTCCTTTATCAGCTCTGGATTTGCAAATATTTTTTCCCAGTCTGTGGCTTGTCTTTTTACTTTCATAATGGTGTCTTTTGAGGAGCAAAAGTTTTAAGTCTTGGGGAAGTTCAATTTTTTTTCTACCATGCAAATGAAACCTTTATTAACACTTTGAACAGGTTCAGCTGTTACTGAAACTGGTAATTTCTAAACGTAAACTGGGACAAATGGCTAGAATGCGGGGTAGTGGCCATCACTGGGCACCGTGAATGCAAAACTGAAGAATTAACAGCCACCCAGCAGACGCAGACGGAGGACCAGGTGCAGAGGGGACTTTTTCTGGATGTTGTAGTCAGAAAGAGTGCGGCCATCTTCCAGCTGTGTGCCTGCCTGCAAAGATGAACGTCTGCTGGTGGGGGCAGGGGGTGAGGCTGGGGAAGGATGGGGAGGTGCCTTCCTTATCCTGGGTCTTGGCCTTCACATTCTTGATGGTGTCACTGGGCTCCACCTCCAGGGAGATGGTCCTGCTGGTCAGAGTCTTCATAGAGATTTGCATTTTGACCTGTTAATGATTGTGAAAAATCCAGTCATATTGAGTCACTTCAGTGACAGCACACTACTGCTTAACAATGCCAGTCGCTTCTTGAATTTCAATTTTTAAATTAAACAAGAAAATTTATTTTATTTTTAGAGAGGGGAAGGGAGGAGGAAAGAGAGGGAGAGAAACATCAATGTGTGGTTGCCTCTAGAGCGCCCCCTACTGGGGACCTGGCCCACAACCCTGGCATGTGACCTGACTTGGAATTGAACTGGCAACTTTTTGGTTTGCAGGTAGGCACTCAATCCACTGAGCTACACCAGCCAGAGTGATTAAAATTTTTTTCTTAATTGTTAATGTTTTGGGAGTTACACATTGCCTTTGCCCAGCCCAAGGTCAGCAGTTTCAGTTCATACATTTAGGTTGCTGATCCATTTGGAGTTAATTTTTTTTCATGTATGGTTGAGGTGAAGATGTATGATCATTTATTTGCATATGGATTTTCAATTATTTCAACATTTATTGTTGAAAAGGCAATTCTTTTCCCATCAGATTGCCTTTGAACTTTTGTCAAAAATCAGTTGACCGTAAAAGTGAGAGTTTATTTTTGCACTTCTTCGCCCCATCATATAGCCAGCCTGTTCCCAGCCAAG